GTAGATGGCTCACAGTGTGTGAGAGTGTAAACAGCCCTCTGTGTGTGTCTCACGCACTGTCTGAGTGTAGATGGCTCACAGTGTGTGAGAGTGTAAACAGCCCTCTGTGTGTGTGTCTCACGCACTGTGTCTGAGTGTAGATGGCTCAAAGTGTGTGTGTGTGTGAGAGTGTAAACAGCCCACTGTGTGTGTGTCTCACGCACTGTGAGTGTAGATGGCTCACAGTGTGTGTGAGAGTGTAAACAGCCCTCTGTGTGTGTGTCTCACGCACTGTGAGTGTAGATGGCTCACAGTGTGTGTGAGAGTGTAAACAGCCCACTGTGTGTGTGTCTCACGCACTGTGAGTGTAGATGGCTCACAGTGTGTGTGTGTGAGAGTGTAAACGGCCCTCTGCGTGTGTGTCTCACGCACTGTCTCTGAGTGTAGATGGCTCACAGTGTGTGAGAGTGTAAACAGCCCTCTGTGTGTGTGTCTCACGCACTGTGTCTGAGTGTAGATGGCTCACAGTGTGTGAGAGTGTAAACAGCCCTCTGTGTGTGTGTCTCATGCACTGTGTCTGAGTGTAGATGGCTCACAGTGTGTGTGTGTGAGAGTGTAAACAGCACACTGTGTGTGTGTGCACATCTCACTGTGTGTGTGCACGTCTTACTGTGTGTGTGTGTGAGCTTTTGACATTTCTTCGCGGCCTCAAAGTGCACCTGGCCTGGCACGGGCGCCACCTTGGTGACGTGATCCCGCCACTTAGTGGCGAATGGCGGGTGTTGTTGTGTGAGTGGGTCAGCGGTAGTGTAGCGGTTAGCGCGCTGCGACTCCAGTTACCCGTGTTCGATTCCTGCTCACGGCCAACACCAGTGACGATTATTTAAACCGGTCCTGGGCCTTCCCTAGGTCGACTCAGCCTCAAATGAGTACCTGGTGCAGTGTGTAATCATTGCCGCTCACGAGACACAGGTGCTCGGGCGTGGTGCTAACCACCCACCCCCTTGTGCTGTGCCGGCCTTCATAGGTGCCACTCGCTAACAGCACTTGCCTCAACAGTCTGTGAAAGGCTATATGGGGGATCTTTGTCTCGCTATTAGCATCTCTATACATCTGATTGTAGATGTGCCTTTGTGTGAGTGTAGACATCTACCACTCCGTGTAGATTACTCACTGCTATTTGTGAGTATATGTGTCACTGTGTCTGTACATGTGGGTGTGTATCTTATTATGTGTGTGTGGGTGTGTATCTTATTATATGAGTGGGTGTGTATCTTATTATGTGTGTGTGGGTGTGTATCTTATTATGTGTGTGGATGTGTATCTCACCGTGTTAGTGGTTGTGTGTGTCTCAGTGTGTGAGTGTGTCTCACCGTGCGAGTGTGTACGTCACCGTGTGTGTGGGGTGTATCTCACTGTGTGAGTGGTTTTGTGCGTCTCACTTTGAGTGGGTGTGTATCCTCTTCTCGACCAAAGTCATGCCCTCCCTTCTCTACGCTTGTGACATGTGGACCTCTCTAATAGAACATCTGCGCCAGTTAGAAACATTCAGGCTGGCATGCCTACGACCCATCCTGGGTGTAACCAGGCCGGATTGTGTGAGGAGCTCACAAATCCTTGAAAGATCTGGACACATTCCTATCGGTGAGTTCCTCTGCCAGGCAAGGCTGGACCATGTAGCCTGCATGCCCAGCCAGCACATGCTCAAGCAGCTTTTGTTTAGCAGCATCGAGGGGGCTAAACGGACATAACATGGGCTGGAGAAGAGCTGGACTGATGCGGTACGGGAGGATATGAAGCTAAGTGGTCTTGCCGACAACCGGTACCAGCGGTGTCAAGATCGGCCTCTATGGAGGAGGCTCGTGAAGGATGCTACTGGGCAGTTGGAGGCAGTCGCCCTCCAACAACAACGGAGGGCGGAGGAGCGACGCTCACAACAACGAGCTCCGTGCCGGGTGGCTAAAATGCAGCAAGTTGGCACAGTAGAGGGTACAGCTGGTGCATCTACCGGTTATCTCAGTCAGCCAACCTAGGGCACATGGGTCTGGCCTGAGACCTCCTGTCAGCGAGCCTTTGACACTTCACGTGGCCTCAAAAGTGCGCCTGGCCTGGCACAGGCACCGTGGTGACGTCACCATCACTTAGTGACGAATGGCGGGTGTTGGTATTTGGTGTGTCTCTCAGTCTGTGGATGGGTGTGTATATCGCCATGTGAGTGATTGTGTTTTGTGTGGAGTGGTACTGTAGCAGATAGCACGCTGTGCCATGAACCTGGCGACCCGAGTTCGATTCCTGCTCACGGCCAACACCACAGTGACGATTATGTGAACTGGTCCTGGGCCTCCCCTAGGTCGACTCAGCCTCAAATGAGTACCTGGTGCGGTGTGTAAACATCGCCACGAGGGAGACAAAGGCGGCCGGGCGTGGTGCTGGCCACCCACCCCCTCGTGTGCTGTGCCGGCCTTCATAGGTGCTCGCTAACAGCACTTGCCCACACAGTTTGTCAAAGGCTAAATGGGGAATCTTTGTCTTTGTGGGTGTGTATCTTACTGTGTGTGTGGGTGTGTATATCACTATGTGAGTGGTTTTCTGCATCTCACTGTGTGAAGGTGATTCAGAGTCTGAGACCGGGAAAAGCACCGGGCAGAGATAATCTCCCAAACAAAATGCTGAGGGAGGGTGGCATTTGTGCACAGACTGCCCTACATGACATCATAATAACAGTCTGGACCACTGGACGGGTTCAGCAGGATTGGAAGGATGCCCTGGTTGATCCCCCTGTCTAAGAAGGGGGACCGCACAGACTGTAACAACTACAGAGGCATGTCACTCCTCAGTTTGCCAGGAAAGGTCCTGGCAAGGATTATTCAACATCGCTTTGCCAGGCACGCTGACGAGAGGCTTGCGGAGCCCCAATGTGGTTTCAGGAAAGGACAGTCCTGCACAGATGCCATATTTTCTGTCTGTCTGCGACAGCAGAGGTGTAGGGAATTCCAACAAGACCTACATCTCTGCTTTATTGACTCGGTCAAGACCAATGATACCATCAGTAGGCCTGGGCACTGGGTTGTTCTTCGTGCTTTCAGAGTCCCTGACACTCTGCTCACAATCATTAAGGACCTTCATGATGGTGAGCGGGCCCAGGTGAAACTACGTGGCCGGGAGTCGGAGTCACTCCCTGTTTACCTTGCGGTGCGACAGGGATGTCCTCTGGCTCCCACATTAGTTCACATCTATTTCGACCACGTAGTTCGTGAAGCTTTCGATGTCTTTACCTGAGGTATTTCCATCTGGTACAGATACAATGGGAGGCTGATTGATGCCCGGGTGCAGTCAAGGGATGGCTCCCTATTGGTCAACCACGTTATGTATACCGATGATCTGGTGATTGCTGCTCACTCAGAGGAGGAATTGGAGGCACTGCTGCTGAACCTGGAGCGTGCCACGAAGAGGTGGGGCCTTCCTATAAGCCCCACCAAAACTAAGCACCTGCCTGGGTATTTTGTACCATCAGACACTCCACCCCCACAACTCCCAATCGGTGATGGAGCAGTTGTGGAGAGAGTGGGGAGTTTGCCATACCTGGGCAGTGTGCTCATCACCGGCTCCGGTTTAACAGCAGAGGTCACACTTGAAATCATTTGAGCAGCATTATCTTTTCATCGGCTGCGTAACGCTGTGTGGAAGCTACCTGGTCTGTCGCTCCGCACTAAGCTTCAGGTCTTCTCGGCCACGGTCATTCCCTCCCTTCTCTACGCTTGCGAAACGTGGACCCCCCTAATGGAACATCTTCGCCGGTTAGAAACATTTAGGCTGGCCTGCCTACGATCCATCCTGGGTTTAACCATACTGGATTGTGTGAGGAGCTCACAAATCCTTGAAAGATCTGGGCAAGGTCCCATCGGTGAGCTCCTCCGGCGGGCAAGGCTGCGATGGCAGGGTCATGTAGCCCGCATGCCCAGCCACCGCATGCCGAAACAGCTTTTGTTCGGCCGGATTGAGGGGGCTAAGCGGGCGCGGCACGGGCTAGAGAAGAGATGGAGTGATGTGGTACAGGAGGACGTGGAGCTGAGTGGACTTGCCGATGACTGGTACCAGCGGTGTCAAGATCGGCCTCTGTGGAGGAGGCTCGTGAAGGCCGCTACTGGGCAGTTGGAGGCATTCGCCCTCCAGCAACAACGGAGGGCGGAGGAGCGACGCTCATAACAACGAGCGGAGCGCCGGGTGGCTAAAGCACAGCAGGTTGGCACAGTAGGGGGCACAGGTGGTGCATCAGCCAGTCATCTCAGTCAGTCGACCCGTGGCACCTGGGTCTGCCCCGTGAACTCCTGCAAGCGGGCGTTCGACACTTCACGTGGCCTCAGGGTGCACATAGCCTGGCACAAGCGTCGTGGTGACGTCACCGCCACTTTGTGGTGAATGGCGGTTGTTGTTGTTGTTGTTGTTTCACTGTGTGAGTGCCTGTGTGTGTCTCACCATGTGAGTGGCTGTGTATCTCGCCGTGTGTGTGGGTGTGTATCTCACCGTGTGAGTGGTTGTGTGTGTGGGTTTGTGCATCTCACCGTGTGTGTGAGTGTGTATCTGTGTGTGTAGGTGTGTATCTCTCTGTGTGTGTAGGTGTGTATCTCTCCGTGTGTGAGGGGTGTATCTCACTGTGTTAGTGGGTGTGTATTTCCCCGTGTGAGTGGTTGTGTGTGTCTCACTGTGTGAGTTGTGTGTGTTTCACTGTGTGAGTGGCTGTGTGTATCTCACCGTGTGTGTGGGTGTGTTTCACACCGTGTGAGTGGTTGTGCGTGTTTCACTGTGTGTTTGGGTGTGTGCATCTCACCGTGTGTGTGGTTGTGTGTCTCACCGTGTGCGCGGGTGTGTGTCTCACCGTGTGTGTGGGTGTGTGCGTCTCACCGTGTGTGTGGGTGCGTGCGTCTCACCGTGTGTGTGGGTGTGTGCATCTCACCGTGTGTGTGGGTGCGTGCGTCTCACCGTGTGTGTGGGTGTGTGCGTCTCACCCTGTGTCACCGTAGATGGCTCGCTGAGCGCCGTTGACGTGTGGACGTCCCGCCAGAACCTGCAGGACGTCTACCAGAAGATGCTGCTCACAGACCTGGAGTACGCGCTCGACAAGAAGGTGGAGCAGGACCTGTGAGTGCTCGCCTCTCGCTCACTCACACTCTCTCACACACAGACACTTCACTCACATTCTCTTCGCTCACGCTTAGACACACACACACTCGCGTGCTCCCAGTGATCATCGGATGCGTTGCGCAGCACGCTAACCACTCCCCACACACTGACATAAACTCACACATACGCGCCTATACACACAGGCGCAATTCCCTGTGTAGCCTTTAACAGACTGTTGGATGAAGTGCTGTTAGCGTGCACCTATTGAGGCCGGCACGGCGCACGAGGGTGGCTAGCCACCTTGCCTGGCTGCCTTTATCTCTCCACTGCCGATGTTTACATAGTGCACCCGGTACTAGTTTAAGGATGAGTCGACCTAGGTTCCGATAATCGCCACTAGTATTGGCCGTGAGCGGGAATCGAACTCGGGTCGCCGAGTTCGTGGTGTGCTAGCCACTTTACAACATCTCCCCACACACTCACACATACAACAACAACCACCATTCGCCACTAAGTGGCGGTGATGTCACCACGGCGCTTGTGCCAGGCCATGTGCACGTTGAGGCCACGTGAAGTGTCGAACGCTCACTAGCAGGAGGTCACGGGGCAGACCCAGGTGCCATGGGTCGACTGACTGAGATGACTGGCTGATGCACCACCACCTGTGCCACCTACTGTTACAACTTGCTGTGCTTTAGCCACCCGGCGCTCCGCTCGTTGTTGTGAGCGTCACTCCTCTGCCTTCCGTTGTTGTTGGAGGGCGACTGCCTCCGACTGCCCAGTAGCGTCCTTCACGAGCCTCCTCCACAGAGGCCGATTTTAACACCGCTGGTACCAGTCATCAGCAAGTCCACTCAGCTGCACATCGTCCTGTACCACATCACTTATCTGTTTTCTAGTCCATGCGACCAAATATAAGTTGCTTGGGCATGCGGTGGCTGCGCATGTGGGCTACATGATCAAGCCAACACAGCCTTGTCTGCCGGAGTAGCTCAATGATGGAACTTTGTCGACATCTTTCAAGGATCTGAGCTCCTCACACAATCCAGGTAGGTTAAACCCAGGGTAGAATGTAGGCAGGCCAGCCCGAATGTTTCGAACCCAACACAGATGTTCCATTATAAGGGTCCACGTTTCACAAGCATAGAAAAGGGATGGCATGACTGGCTGATAAAATGATACACACCCATTCACAGTGAGATACACACAACCACTCACATGGTGAGATACACACCCACACACACGGTGAGACGTAACCACTCACGGTGAGATACACACCCATACACACAGTGAGATACACACTGACACACAGTGAGATACACACTGACACACAGTGAGCCACACACCCACTCACACGGTGAGATACACACCCACACACACAGTGAGATACACAGCCACTCACAGTGAGATACACACCCACTCACACAGTGAGATACACACTGACACACAGCGAGATACACACCCACACACACAGTGACATACACACCCACTAACAGTGAGCCACACCCACTCACACGGTGACATACACACCCACACACGGTGACATACACACCCACACACACAGTGAGATACACACCCACTCACACAGTGAGATACACACCCACTCACAGTGAGCCACACACCCACTCACACAGTGAGATACACACTGACACATGGTGAGATACACACCCACTTACACAGTGAGCCACACCCACACACCCTTTATAAGAGTCCGCGTTTTTGCAAGCATAGATAAGGCAGGGCATGAATGTGGTCAACAAGACCCGAAGCTTCCTGTGGGGTGACAGGCCCAGGTATCTTCCACACAGCATCGTTACCCAGCCGATGAACAAAAATAATGTTGCTCGCTTGATTCGGAGTGAGACCTCCGCTGCCCAGGGAACTTCCCCCATCATTCGCGGGAAGTTGAGGGGGTAGAGAATTTTACGACGTCAAATTAAACTCTTTTTACTTAACCAAGTAAGGCCTACTGAGCCTTGTAGCTCTTTCAGAAGCGACCTGGATATCACAAATGATAGCTCTACGAAGTGGCTTATCACATGGACGTCTATAGCAGCCAAATACTTTAAGCGCACTTCTCTAAATGTGGAGGGGAAAACTGGAGGACCCAGAGAAACATCCACGTGATTACGGGGAGAACATGCAAGCTCCAAATATACAGCAGGCTTCAGGGTCTAGATCAGTGGTTCTTAACCTTGTTGGAGGTACCGAACCCCACCAGTTTCATATGCGCATTCACCGAACCCCTCTTTAGTGAAAAATAAAATGTGATTTTTTTCAAATTCAAGACATAGATATGTTTTTTACTGGTACACAAAATGAGCCGTGCATGAACATTACCTTGTTCAAAGAATAAAACCAACACAATGCATAAACTCACAACAAATTACATACCTGGAAATCAATGTGACTTCTGCTGTTGCCTTTGAGAGATCAGTTCAGATATGCGTGGCTTCACCTTGGCAAGTGCCATTCTCATGTCATTTTCACAGCAAAGTCTGTTCCTTTTCTTCGTTTTTATGTCCAGCATCCTCGAAAAGGATTGCTCACAAAGATATGTTGTAACAAATGGTATAAAAAAATCCAGGGCTTTCTTAGCAATAACTGGATACTTGTTCATTTGTCGACACCAAAACGTTGAGAGCGTTGTTGTTCTGAAGAGTTGCTGTTGAACCTGGCTCTGCTGAATTTCAATGATTTCGTCGAGGAATTCATCATTGACATCTGTTTCAACAGCAAACGTGAACGGCTGTCTCACCCATGCTGGATATGACTCTCTTGTAGGGAAATATCCGTCGAGAGACTTTGCAAGCTCATCTAAGTGCGTGGCAATTGTTTGCTTCAGTTCCGTGGATACAGAAATATCTCCGATTCCAGACACATCTTCAATATTACTTGCACAGTCGTCCAGAAGCGGGAAGTTTGCGAAGTTATTGTTCTCTGTTCGTCGTTTCCATAACGGTAGCTTTTTTTGAAAAGCCTTCAGGTGTTCTTCCGCTTCCATGATATTGACTCCACCACCCTGCATCTGCTGATTGAGATGATTGAGAGCTGCGAATATATCAGCCATGTACGCTAAAATGAGAATGAACTCAGGATTTTTGAAGCAATCTGCATGGCAGTGTTGGTGCTCTTGCAAAAACAGGGCTAATTCCACACGCATGGCAAAAACACGATTCAGCACCTGTCCCCGGGATAACCACCGAATATTAGAATGGAGCAGAAGTACCTCAAATTCAGAGCCCATTTCTTTACACAGCTCACTGAAGATGCGGTGCCTCAGAGCACTTTTTCGCACATAGTTCACACATTCCACCACAGTTTTTAATACTTCTGCCATTTTTGGAGGTAAGGTTTTTGTTGCCAACGCATGCCTGTGCAGAATACAATGCGTCACAATGATGTGTGGTGCATCGGCCTTTACTAGCGCACCAAAACCAGACTTCCCAGCATGACTGGAGCTCCGTCCGTACAAACTGCAGAAACCATATCCCATGAAAGATTGTTGTCTCTGAAGAAGTCATCCACAAGCTTCTTCACATCGGCTGCCTTTGTTGTTGTTGTAAGAGGCTTACAAAATAAAAACTCTTCTTTTATCATGTCGTCTTTCACATAGCGTACAAAAACAGCAAGCTGGCTTAGATCAGAAACGTCTGTGGTTTCGTCGAGTTGAAGGCTGAATTTTGCCGGGTTTGAAATCAGATCCGCGACTACTTGAGCCAAGATGTCTTTACTCATGTCTTCTATTCTGTCACTGACGGTGTCATTTGAAAGGGGAATTTGGGATAATTTACCTTCGGCCGCTGTTCCGAGTATCAGATTCGCCATCTTTAATGCAGCTGGTTTCACAAGTGTTTCACCAATGGTGTGTGGCTTGCCCTGCTTTGCGATCAGGTAAGCAACTTCGTACGATGCTGTCAGGATCGGTTTGTTAACAGGTACAAATCCAAGAGCAGGCAGAGTGGCCCTTTCATCGAATCTGGCTCTCTTCACCCTGAATTCAGCAAGTGTTGTGTTCTTGTATTCCCCGTCTCCATGCAGCTTCAAGAAGTGTTCCTTTAGTTTTGCCGGTGCAAGACTAGAGTTGCTCAACTTGGCGTTGCAAATCATGCAGATAGGACGCTCACTCCCATCACGTTCCGTGATACATGAGAATCCATGTTGTACATATTCGTCCGACCACTTTCCTCTTTTGCGCGACATAGTTAGTATTGATAAAATATTAAAGAAATCACACGACGTACGACAACAACAGTCACACGTTGACTACTGAGTACGCACTAAATTCCCCGCAGCGCTGATTGGCCAAGCAGTGTAGCATGATCATCTGCAGCCAGTGATGGCCAAGCGGGCCGTGTGTGTCATCACAAATTTACACAATAATTCAAGTGTGTCCGGACCTCCGTGGCGGGGGCTCTGCCGAACCCCTGAGATCGACTCACCGAACCCCTGGGGTTCGATCGAACCCAGGTTAAGAACCACTGGTCTAGATTGAACCCGCAACCTCCTGTATACCAGGTACCCAGGCAGGTGCTTGGTCTTTGTGGGGCTGATGCCAAGGCCCCATTGGCAAGCTCCTGGTTCAGCGCTAGAGCTTGCAACTCCTTAAGAGTAGTACCAGATAATCAGCATACACAACATGGTTGACCAATAGGGTGGTCATCCCTTGACCGCACCCAGGCATTCATCACCCTACCATTGAATCTATACCATAAAGACATTTCTCTGGTCCAGCAGTGGAAAGTGTCTCAATCGACGTGGTCAAAAATGCAGCTCACAAGCACTCGCACATGCTTTATTGCCATCGAAATGTTCATAGTTAGTTTCATTTATGTTGGTGTATAGCCCTGTGAGCCATTCGGCTCTTGAATCGGGTGCAACCGCAACAAACAAAAAAACACGAACAAGAACAACATCTTAAAGTGATTATGTGTGACTTTGTGCAAACAGAAAATACAGGGGAAAAAAAACAGCAAAATATTCCTGAAATAGCACCGTACACCAACGCTGTGTGCAAAAATCCCAGTGGGATGCAAGTCAAACAACAACAACAACCACAAGACGACTAAGATTAAGGCCATCAGTCTAACTCCGTACTACAATAAACAAAAACATGGCCAAAACAAAAAAAACTTTTCGAAATCACCAAAATAAAAGCCATAAATCCAATGTAACAGTGATCATAGGGACTGTGACCGAATTTTTTTAACAATAAACTACATAAATAAATTATGACACCAAAATCTAGAGCCATATTTTAGGCCAATGAATAGCAGTGGCATCTAGGGTTGTACAACTCCTCTAGAGCAGTTTTGAGAGAAGATCTCATAGGTAGTGATTCAAGTTGCAGTTTATTGGCAATAGCATTCCAGACCCTGGGGGCATCAATAGCAAAGGCGACCCTGTGATGGAGTGCTCCGTCTCACGCACTAACAGTGCCTTTCCCGGCGCCTGACTTCTATTCCCCGCGCCTCTACACACCGTCCCACGTCTTCCCCACATATCTCTGTGTCTCCCAATTCCCATGCATCCCCATGCCTCCCTGCCTCACCGTGTCTCCCCCTTTCTCCCCACACCTCTCCACACCTCCCCATGTCTCCCCCTTTCTCCCTGTTCCTCACCTATCCACTCCTCCCCGTGTCTCCCCCTTTCTCCCCACACCTCTCCACTCCTCCCCGTGTCTCCCCCTTTCTCCCCACACCTCTCCACTCCTCCCCGTGTCTCCCCCTTTCTCCCCACACCTCTCCACTCCTCCCCGTGTCTCCCCCTTTCTCCCCACACCTCTCCACTCCTCCCCGTGTCTCCCCCTTTCTCCCCACACCTCTCCACTCCTCCCCGTGTCTCCCCCTTTCTCCCCACACCTCTCCACTCCTCCCCGTGTCTCCCCCTTTCTCCCCACACCTCTCCACTCCTCCCCGTGTCTCCCCCTTTTTCTCCCTGTTCCTCACCTCTTCACTCCTCCCCGTGTATCCTCCTTTCTGCCCGCACCTCCCCCTCTCACCTCTCCACCTCCTCCCTGTGTCCTACCCCGTGCCTCCCCCGTGCCTCCCCCGTGCATGCTGCTTGCAGGTGGAACTACGCCTTCAAAAACCAGATCAGCAGCCTCCAGGGCCAGGCGAAGAACAGAGCCAACCCCAACCGTGGGGATGTGCAGACCAACCTGGGGCTCTTCCTGGAGGCAGCCAGTGGCTTCTACACACAGGTGTGGAGGGCTGGAGGTGGCGTCTGCATGTCCCCCTCCACTCCCCCACCCCCGCACGCCCGCGTCTCTCACCCTGTGTCTCACTTTGTGTCTCTCCACAAGTGCCCACATCTCTCACCCTGTGTCTCACCCTGTCTCTCCCCCTGTGTCTCACCCTGTGTCCCACCCTGTGTCTCACCCTGTCTCTCACCCTGTCTCTCACCCTGTCTCTCACCCTGTGTCTCACCCTGTCTCTCACCCTGTCTCTCCCCCTGTGTCTCACCCTGTGTCCCACCCTGTGTCTCACCCTGTCTCTCACCCTGTCTCTCACCCTGCGTCTCACCCTGTCTCTCACCCTGTGTCTCACCCTGTCTCTCACCCTGTCTCTCACCCTGTGTCTCACCCTGTCTCTCACCCTGTCTCTCACCCTGTCTCTCACCCTGTGTCTCACCCCGCGTCTCACCCTGTCTCTCACCCTGTCTCTCACCCTGTGTCTCACCCTGTCTCTCACCCTGTGTCTCACCCTGTCTCTCACCCTGTGTCTCACCCTGCGTCTCACCCTGCGTCTCACCCTGTCTCTCACCCTGCGTCTCACCCTGTCTCTCACCCTGTCTCTCACCCTGTGTCTCACCCTGTCTCTCACCCTGTCTCACCCTGTGTCTCACCCTGTGTCTCACCCTGTCTCTCACCCCGCGTCTCACCCTGTGTCTCACCCTGTGTCTCACCCTGCGTCTCACCCTGTCTCTGACCCTGTCTCTCACCCTGTGTCTCACCGTGTGTCTCACCCTGATTCTCACCCTGTGTCTCACCGTGTGTCTCACCGTGTGTCTCACCCTGTGTCTCACCCTGTGTCTCACCCTGCGTCTCACCCTGTCTCTCACCCTGTCTCTCACCCTGTCTCTCACCCTGTGTCTCACCCTGTGTCTCACCCTGTCTCACCCTGTGTCTCACCCTGCGTCTCACCCTGTCTCTCACCCCACGTCTCACCCTGTCTCTCACCCTGTGTCTCACCCTGTGTCTCACCCTGCGTTTCACCCTGTGTCTCACCCTGTCTCTCACCCTGTGTCTCACCCTGTCTCTCACCCTGTGTCTCACCCTGTCTCTCACCCCGTGTCTCACCCTGCGTCTCACCCTGCGTCTCACCCTGTCTCTCACCCTGTGTCTCACCCCGCGTCTCACCCTGTCTCTCACCCTGTCTCTCACCCTGTGTCTCACCCTGTGTCTCACCCTGCGTTTCACCCTGTCTCTCACCCTGTGTCTCACCCTGTGTCTCATCCTGTGTCTCACCCCGCGTCTCACCCTGTCTCTCACCCTGTGTCTCACCCTGTGTCTCACCCTGCGTCTCACCCTGTGTCTCACCCCACGTCTCACCCTGTCTCTCACCCTGTGTCTCACCCTGTCTCTCACCCTGTGTCTCACCCTGTGTCTCACCCTGTGTCTCATCCTGTGTCTCACCCTGTCTCTCACCCTGTGTCTCACCCTGCGTCTCACCCCACGTCTCACCCTGTCTCTCACCCTGTGTCTCACCCTGTGTCTCACCCCACGTCTCACCCTGTCTCTCACCCTGTGTCTCACCCTGTGTCTCACCCTGCGTTTCACCCTGTCTCTCACCCTGTGTCTCACCCTGTGTCTCATCCTGTGTCTCACCCTGCGTCTCACCCTGTCTCTCACCCTGTGTCTCACCCTGCGTCTCACCCTGTGTCTCACCCCACGTCTCACCCTGTCTCTCACCCTGTGTCTCACCCTGTGTCTCACCCTGCGTTTCACCCTGTCTCTCACCCTGTGTCTCACCCTGTGTCTCATCCTGTGTCTCACCCTGCGTCTCACCCCGCGTCTCACCCTGTCTCTCACCCTGTGTCTCACCCTGTCTCTCACCCTGCGTCTCTCCACGTGTGCCCACGTCTCTCACCCTGCGTCTCCCCCTGCGTCTCCCCCTGCCCTCGTGTCTCCCCAGCTGCTGCAGGAGCTGTGCGTGGTGTTTGAGGTGGACCTGCCCTGCCGCGTTCGCTCCTCCCAGCTGGGCCTGGGTATCGGACCGACGCCGCCTATGGAGCCGGCCATCGTGAAGCCGCAGCCCAACTCCTGCCTCTACATCTGCCAGCACTGCCTCGTCCACCTGGGAGACATCGGTAGGGGGGGCGATGGTCTCCGTAGCGACGGCATTTTTACGGATTTTGCTCGGATGCGTGTTAACGTATGGTTGCCCTCCCTCTATCCGCCTGATGGTGTCGCTTGTTGTAATTACTGGCGAAACGTCACGGTACTCGAGTTGTAAATGTTGTAGTGGTTTTACTCTTCCAACACACAACCGCTTAGTGCTGTATAGTATACACGATACACTACACTATACACTATAATTGTAAATGTAGTGGTTTTACTGTCCCAACACACAACCGGTTAGTGCTGTGTAGTATACACGATACACTACACTATACACTATAATTGTAAATGTAGTGGTTTTACTGTCCCAACACACAACCGCTTAGTGCTGTGTAGTATACACGATACACTACACTATATGCTATAATTGTAAATGTAGTGGTTTTACTCTTCCAACACACAACCGCTTAGTGCTGTGTAGTATACACGATACACTACACTATACACTATAATTGTAAATGTAGTAGTGGGTTTACTGTCCCAACACACAACCGGTTAGTGCTGTATAGTATAAACGATACACTACACTATACACTATAATTGTAAATGTAGTAGTGGGTTTACTCTTCCAACACACAACCGGTTAGTGCTGTGTAGTGTACACGATACACTATAATTGTAAATGTAGTAGTGGGTTTACTCTCCCAACACACAACCGGTTAGTGCTGTGTAGTGTACACTATACACTATAATTGTAAATGTAGTAGTGGGTTTACTCTCCCAACACACAACCGGGAAGTGCTGTACTAGTAACGAATTGGCACGTTTTGTTTACATCACAAACCTTACTAATTGGCTTTGCTGGGTGGTCGCAGGTCTAACGACACATTTATCCTCACGCGATCTAACCCAAAACATTCATTATGGATAATATTGGTCGCGAAAGCCTAACGTGTTAAACTGACTATTAAAACTATTTTTATTTAACTGGGTAAGGGCCCGCCGATCTTATATAGCTCGGCAGAAGTGCCTTATCATTAACACGTGGAAATTGATAGCAGCAGCCAAATATTCAAAACGCATGTTTCTATACATGTGGGAACACGCTAACTCCAAATATACAGCAGCAGTCGTCAGGGTTGGGATCGAACCCACGACCTCCTTTATACCAGGCGAGGTAGTTAACATCTCCTAGCCACCACGGGTTCGTCTGTGTAGTGCTGCTGCTGCTGCTGCTAAAGTGGTTGGTGGTGGTTATGATCATGGTGTGGCCCCGTGTTTGTGTGTGTGCATGTGCACTTGTGTGTGCTCGCTAACGGTACTTGCCCCAACATTCTGTTAAGGCTATACGTGGGGGGGGGGGGGGTCTTTGTTTTGCATGTGCCGTGCCTCCCCGACTCAGCTCGCTACCGCAACCAAATCAGCCAGGCGGAGTCATACTACAGGCACGCTGCGCAGCTGGTGCCTTCCAATGGTACGCACACACGCACGCACGCAAAGACACGCACACACACCCCAGGGTACTAGACGCACACACACACAAACAGGCCTACCAGACCGACGGTTTCATCTCATCCACCACCACACTGTGTTCAACCACCACACTGCAGGTCACAACAACACACACCCACCCACTCATTCACTTGAGCCGCTATCATCACGTGTGGCACGTATGTATGTGTTTTGAACCGTCTTTCGCACCCTACGTAGCCAACTGTGCTGATCAGAGGTGCCGGTTTTTTTTTAATTTTACGAGGGAAGGCCCACTGAGCTGTGGAGCTCTTTTTCAGAAGCGACCTGCCCACAAGTGATAGCTCAACGAAGTGGCTTATCGCGTAGAAATGTATGGCAGCAGTGAAATACTCTAAACGTGTGTCGATGTCGATTCTAAGTGTGGAGGAAAAAACCGCAGGACCTGGAGAAATATCCACGTGACCACGAGGAGGAGAACATTCAGACTCCACATATACAGCAGGCGTCAGGGTTGGGATCGAACCCACGACTTCCTGTATTCCAGTCGCAGCACGACTGCTGCCATTCTACGGTAGCTGACGTCAACAGTTGTGCCACACGCCACTCATTCCCTGTCGCATGGTATTGTGGGGGAGCCTCAGTAAAGTTATTTTATATTCTTAGTTTTTTCGGTAAAGTCACGTTGAAGGGAAACAACAAAATAATAAAATATATATAAACAATAAAAAATTCTCACGACGTTTCGACCATAACTCAAACGGTCGTCTTCAACCAACACACCTGAAGACGACCGTTTGAGTTATGGTCGAAACGTCGTGAGAATTTTTTATTGTTTTATATATATTTTATTATTTTGTTGTTTCCCTTCAACGTGACTTTACCGAAAAAACTAAGAATATGAATTACTGCAGTCACGAAAGCTTTAAATCAAAATTTAAAGTTATTTTACTTACATTTTTCTTCCAATTCCAGTTACGTACGTGCGTGTTCCGTCATCGGAACGCAAGTAAAATCACTTTATCGGTACGTCTTCAGCTTCGAAGACGTAGCACACGTACGTACGTCATCGGAACGCAAGTAATATAACTTTATCGGTGCGTCTTCAGCGAGGAAGGCAGTGCACGTACGTACGTCATCGGAACGCAAGTATTATAACTTTATCGGTACGTCTCCAGCGAGGAAGACACAGTACACGTACGTACGTACGTCATCGGATCTCAAATAAAATTACTTTATCGGTACGTCCTCAGCTCGGAAAACTTAGCACACGCACAGTACGAACGGAATCAGAAGAATCGCAAGAAAAACTGATGACGTACAGTGACGTGCACGTACGTACGTACGTGCACGCGCGTGCCATCGGGAAGCACAGTGTACTTGCCATGTTTCACAACACCTTGCCACCGCGTGTGTGTGCGGTTGGGACGGCAGGCCAGCCGTACAATCAGCTGGCGATCCTGGCGTCGTCGCGCGGAGACCACCTCACCACCATCTTCTACTACTGCCGGAGCATCGCCGTGCGCTTCCCCTTCCCGGCGGCCGGCACCAACCTCAGCAAGGCGCTGTCCAAGGCCATCGAGGGGCAAGCGCTGCGCCCGCACCACCATCGGAAATCCGGGCCTGGGGCCACGGCACGCCGGCATGCACGCGGAGAGAGAGAGAGAGAGGCCACGTCTCCTAGCCACTGTTGGGCGCCTTCAGTGGCGGGATGTGAACCTACCGATAAAGCTGAATGGCGTTTGTATTCTTTGTCACGTAGATAGGTTATTTTCTTTGAACCTATCTACGTGACTTTGCCCAAAGACCCAAAGAATATGAATTCCTGCAGTCGCGGAAGCTTTACGTCAAGATTTGAACGGCGTTTCACAGGTTGTAATAAAAATTATAATTTGCTTGGGGTCTTATTTGAATGGTGATACGTTCAACTGGTTGCGTGCCAGAACGACACGGAGGCGCAAGGAATCACGGACAAGCAGGGAAGGCACTCTACAAACTATTGAAAAACTAATTTTTATTTTACCAGGTACAGCCCCCACTGAGCTATGTAGCTCTCGGATGATAGCTCAATGAAGTGGCTTATCATCATAATCATCAGTGGAGATTGAAAGCACCAGCCAAATACTCTAAACACATGATGTTGATTCTAAATGTGGAGGGAAAAGCCAGAGGACCCGGAGAAAAATCCACACGACCACGGGGAGCGGGAGAGACAGACGCAAACTCTAAATATACAGCAGCAGGCGTCGGCAGGGTTGTGATTGGACCCACGTCCTCCTGTATACCAGACGAGGTAGTTAACATCTCCTAGCCACTGTGGAGCGCTCACTTGGTGAGCCGGCGCCAACGATTTTACAAGCTCCCCGGTCCTCTCTGTTTATATTAAGGAGTTAATCGGCCAATGAATGCAGTAGGAAATCGGAGCACCCCTAGCGAGAAACCCCACGCGTGCCAGGGGGAAACGCGCTATAGCATACAAACGGAAGAGGTGGAACTCCACATTTTTTTTTTTTTTGCTGTACTGCCTTTCTGGGTATCCAGGGGATATGGCTCCTCCTCGGAGTCTCCCTGCGGGAAGGGAGTTGCACAGCAGCTGGGTGTGTTAATCATCATAAAGGTTTCTTGGTGGTTGCAAAAGCCGACGTGTTAAACAGTTTTTTGTTGGGTTAGATCGCGTGAGTATAAATGTGTCGTTAGACTCGCATCACCTGACACAGCCAATTATGAAGGTTTGTGTTGCTTAAACAAAACGTGTCAGCGCGCACCGGTCGTGTGTTGGAGAGCAAAGCCCACAATAACATTTACCGTTCGAGTAACCGTGAAGTTGTGCCAGTAATTACAACAACAAACCAGCAGCCTCATCAGGCGACAGACAGAGTTGTGAAGAAATCCTCCTCCTGCTGTTTGTCTTCAACAGAGCAGGTGGTAAATGTGATGTCGTCACCTGTGAGCCAATCGGGCTGTGAAGACCAGAGAGTGGTTGGGGGTGAATGTATTCATGAAAATTACAATTAGATATCTATTTTTGGTCGGTTGAATAACCCCACGTTTTGTTTACGTGACGAGCCCTTAATTGGCTGTGTCGGGTGGTGGCGGGTTTAATGAAACATTTACACGATATAACCCCCAAAAACACCTACGTTATGGATAATATTGGTGGGGGAAAGCTTCCTATTAGCACTGCTGTTACTACGACCACTCCAAGTTGTGTTCATTCTCTCTTTCTGACGTCCCGCAGGAGGGAGGAGCCCAAGGTGAAGATGGGGCTGCTGGATTTCCTGAAGCTGTTCATCCGCTTCCACGCCCACGTCTACCTTGGCAAGAGCCTGGACCGCCTCGCCTCACTCAGCCACAAGCTGGAGGAGGCATTCAAGGTGAGAAGTTGCAGCAGCAGCAGCGGCGGCAGCGGCGGCGGCAACAGCTGCAGCAGCAGCAGTGAGGATAGTAATTGAGAGCATTTGATGCTGGAGCTATCGCACGGACTAAACTATACAATTTTTTTTATTGAACCTGGTAAGGCCCCCACTGAGCATGTTATTACAACCTTTTTTCGGGATCGAATCCACGACCTCCTGCACACCAGGCGAGGTAGTTATCTCCTAGCAAACCGTGATGATGATGATGAGAGAGAGAGAGACGCAGACTCCAAATATACAGCAGGCATCGGGGTCGGGATCGAACCCACAACGTGCCGTAATCCAGGTTGAGGCGGTTGACATCTCCTAGCCACCGTGGCCATTGTGGTTGCGATGTAACCAACCGCTTGCCCTGTGCTCTGTGCGACGGGCGCAGGGGCTGCTGGCCGTCAGGGCACTCTCTGCCCAGCAGCTGGTGCACCTGGTGGTGGTGACGCTCTTCCAGATGCACCATCTGCGCGAGGGTGGCGGCGGCGGCGGCGGTGGTGCCGTCGAAGAACAGCAGCCCGAGGCCGAGCAGCAGCAGCAGCAGCAGCACGACGACAATGACGACGACGACGATGATGAGACGCGTTGGACAAACGCGCTCACGCTCTACAGTGAGAAGAGGACACGGCGACACGGGCGCGGGGGAAGGGAGAGGTGTGGGGACAGATGCAGTGCCGGATTAAGCTAGTGCGAGGCCTGTAGCGTACGTCATAAGGGGGCCCTAAATTAAAAAGAAAAACACCAAAATATTGAAGCACAAATTTTTTACTTGCGTAGTAAAGTCATTGTATTTTTTTTTCATTTTCTATACAGCCAGATAATACGACACATCGCTAACCTTCAACACCCAAGTCGTTCATGAAAGCTGAAGGCGGTATAGTACTATAGTAATAGAGCAAGTGCAGAATCACTCAACCGGAATTGATAGCTTGAAAGCATTTAGCGCGGGGCTCTTGAAAGTGCGGGGCCCGTAGCATATGTGGCTACTTTTGCTACGAGGATAATCCGGCACTGGACATACAGAGGAGGATAAACCACCACCATCATCATCATCATCGCGTAAGCTTCGGTTGTCATCCTCGCAGCAGCAGCAGCAGCGGCTTTTGCTTTGCCATTGAACAAAGGCGGCGGTCACCGCATCATCATCGCGCGGCGCTTTCAGATGCACTTCCGCGGCTATCTGGAACGCTCTCCCCTTGCAATATTAGGAAGCCACTGGGGCAATACACTTCTAAATCATCATCTAGATTGACAAACTCATTTATTTAGAACTGCTTGTTGTTGTGTTCAGGTTGTTGTCCTTCCACCCGCGCACCTATTAGCGCAGTTGGCTACGTAGGGTGCGAGAGAAGTTCAGCATACATACACACGCGGGATCAATGTGATGCACACACCGGTAAATGAAGAGGGACTCGCACAAAGGGGAGATTCAGGGGGGATACTGCCACACACACGGGGGGATAAATCCGGGGGGGGATACAGAGGGATGGTCGAGGTCCTCGCACACGCGAGATAAGACACAGGGGGATACATACAAAGACAGACTCAGAATCTTTATTCATCCTGGAGGAGATTCCCGATGAGCTATGAAGCTCTTTTTCACGGGCAACAAACACGATGCGAGTTTTAAAAAAAAAAAAAGCAAACGATCGGGCGCTCGTATTCCTTGCACAGCGGTAACGCAGCGGAGTGAGCGGCCGGGGGATAGGTGCCGGGGGGACGCAGCAGTCTGGGAGGTCGTGTGGCGAGAGATGCGGGGGAGCTGCCACCAACCTCGTGCCACGCGGGAGGGTTGTGTGACGAAGTGTGTTGCAGCGTGCCACCGTGTGTCACCGTGCAGGCGCCCTGCTGGACGGGTTGTGCCGCTACGCGGTGCTGCCGGTAAGTGAGGAGGTGCGGGCGCCGTCGGCGCTGCCGGCCGTGAAGGTGGCGCTGGAGTGGCTGGGGGCCCGTCCGGTGGTGGTGGAGCACCGAGCGCTGCAGCAGCACTGCCAGTGAGACGCGCACGCACACACACACGCGCACGCACACACACACGCACACACACACGCACACACACACACACACGCGCACGCACACACACACGCACACACGTGCACACACACGCGCACACACACACGCACGCACACACGCGCGCACACACACACACACGTGCACACATGCACACACACGTGCACACACGCACACACACGCACGCACACACACATGCGCACACACGCACGCACACACAGGTAAGGCCCCACTGAGCTATTGTGTAGCTCCTTCGCAGATGCGACCTGGCTTTCAGAAATGATAGCTCAAAGAAGGACGCTTATCACTTGGAAATTGGTAATCGGCCAAATACTCTTAAATGCACGTTGATTCTAAAATGTGGAGGGAAAATCCGGAGGACCGAGAGAAAGATCCACACGACCTCGGGGAGAGAGACACGCAAACTCCAAATATGCAGTGAGGGAAAAAAGTATTTGATCCCCTGCTGATTTTGTACGTTTGCCCACTGACAAAGAAATGATCAGTCTATGATTTTAATGGTAGGTTTATTTGAACAGTGAAAGACAGAATAACAACAAAAAAATCCAGAAAAACGCATGTCAAAAATGTTATAAATTGATTTGCTTTTTAATGAGGGAAATAAGTATTTGACCCTTCTGCAAAACATGACTTAGTACTTGGTGGCAAAACCCTTGTTGGCAATCACAGAGGTCAGACGTTTCCTGTAGTTGGCCACCAGGTTTGCTCACATCTCCGGAGGGATTTTGTCCCACTCCTCTTTGCAGATCTTCTCCAAGTCATTAAGGTTTCGAGGCTGACGTTTGGCAACTCGAACCTTCTGCTCCCTCCACAGATTTTCCATGGGATTAAGGTCTGGAGACTGGTTAGGCCACTCCAGGACCTTAATGTGCTTCTTCTTGAGCCACTCCTTTGTTGCCTTGGCCGTGTGTTTTGGGTTATTGTCATGCTGGAATACCCATCCACGACCCATTTTCAATGCCCTGGCTGAGGGAAGGAGGTTCTCACCCAAAAGATTTGACGGTACATGGCCCCGTCCATCGTCCCTTTGATGCGGTGAAGTTGTCCTGTCCCCTTAGCAGAAAAACACCCCCAAAGCATAATGTTTACACCTCCATGTTTGACGGTGGGGATGGTGTTCTTGGGGTTATAGGCAGCAATCCTCCTCCAAACACGGCGAGTTGAGTTGATGCCAAAGAGCTCCATTTTGGTCTCATCTGACCACAACACTTTCACCCAGTTGTCCTCTGAATCATTCAGATGTTCATTGGCAAACTTCAGACGGGCATGTGTGCTTTCTTGAGCAGGGGGACCTTGCGGGCGCTGCAGGATTTCAGTCCTTCATGGCAGAGTGTGTTACCAATTGTTTTCTTGGTGACTATGGTCCCAGCTGCCTTGAGATCATTGACAAGATCCTCCCGTGTATTTCTGGGCTGATTCCTCACGAGGTGAGATCTTGCATGGAGCCCCAGGCCAAGGGAGATTGACAGTTCTTTTGTGTTTCTTCCATTTGCGAATAATCGCACCAACTGTTGTCACCTTCTCACCAAACTGCTTGGCAATTGTCTTGTAGCCCATTCCAGTCTTGTGTAGGTCTACAATCTTGTCCCTGACATCCTTGGAGAGCTCTTTGGTCTTGGCCATTGTGGAGAGCTTGGAATCTGATTGATTGATTGCTTCTGTGGACAGGTGTCTTTTATACAGGTAACAAGCTGAGTTTAGGAGCACTCCCTTTAAGAGTGTGCTCCTAATCTCAGCTCGTTACCTGTATAAAAGACACCTGGGAGCCAGAAATCTTTCTGATTGAGAGGGGGTCAAATACTTATTTCCCTCATGAAAATGCAAATCAATTTATAACATTTTTGACATGCGTTTTTCGGGATTTTGTTGTTATTCTGTCTCTCACTGTTCAAATAAACCTACCATTAAAATCATAGACTGATCATTTCTTTGTCAGTGGGCAAACGTACAAAATCAGCAGGGGATCAAATACTTTTTTTCCCTCACTGTACAGCAGATGCCAGGGTGGTGATCAAACCCACGACATTTTGTGTACCAGGCGACGTAGTTATCATCTAGCCACCGTGATGATGATGAGAGAGAGAGACGCAAACTTCAAATATACAGCAGGTGCCTGCCAGAGTAGGGAGCAAACCCACGACCTCCCGTATACCAGGCGAGGTAGTTAACATCTCCTCGCCACTGCAGCACTGTGAACCACCTAGCAAGATATCCAGGGGTTATAATGGATAGAAGCGCAAGCCCCGGACAAAAGAGATTCGTGAAAAACCAAATGAAGAATCGCCCCGGCACGGAAAATCGCGAACAAACCCCTGGGGTGCCATGGCCGACGTGCTGTGAACTGCCGCCACCGTCCATCACCGATCCACTCGGTTGGCGGAGTCGCCGCGCTCCAGCTCACCCTGGCAGCTCGGGTACAAATCTTGGCCAGATGCGCGATTGAATGAAGCTTTGCGCAACAGAACCCCGGTGCTGAAACTGACACCAAGAACAAGAAAATGCTTTGCGTACCCTCTTTGGCAGTAACACAGGACTTGTGTTGAGATGTTAAAACACCAAATGGATACACCTTTTGCAAGGTATCAAGTCTGCATTAACCACACACATTACTTGTGGCAAAACGTGCAAACAAACATGCTGCGCCAACAATCATAATGATGTATGCATTGTCTTTGAAACTGACTGGCCTAGTCTCTGCACCACCATTGTCAGACACAGAGAACAAGACAGTGCGAGTATCAGAGCATTAATAGCTCGGGTCGAGCAGTTATGTCTTTGGGAACTTTTGCCAGTATGCAAAATTTCATTTGTTTAGAACAGTTTTTTTTTGTATTTAATCTGTTGTCCTTCCTGCCAGACTGGAGCGTGCAGTAAACCCACTACTGGAGGTGGCCGCCAAAACTTTGACAGCGGCATTGAAGCGCCCAGAACGTGTTGCCGGACACACAAGACTAGAATAGAACCGCACCCATTCACGCTCGCCGCACCCCTAGCTCAACGAATTTAATTAACCCACCAACTCTTGAATGTCACGTGATTGACTGTAATATTATTTATTTTCACGTCTTCTTTGTGTTCATGACTTCTAAAATGGTCCCGGGCCTCCACTAAGTCTACTCGGCCTAAAATGAATGCCTGGTCCCATGTGTGAACATCGCCACTGGGGGCGTTAAAGGTGGCGGAGCTTGGTGTTGGCCACCCACCCCCCCCCCCCCCCCCCCCCCCCCGTGTGCCACAGTGCCGCCCTTCATCGGTGCTGCTCGCTAGCAGTCTGTTAAGGCTACACGGAGGATCTTTGTATGAGAGTTCTACTAGTGTGTGTGTAATAATAGGGGCTTTCCCCTTTTTTCTGGCAACAAAACTGAAATCATGTCTGCATTAACCACAATACTTGTCAAAATGCAAACAAAAACACACACTCTGATAATATATGTGGCATTGTCCTTGAAACTGATTGGTCCACACCAGAGACGGCTTTCTTTTGAGCCTCGTCTCAATTGCTGCGAGACCAGAGGATACAAAAAGGCGTCACACAGCTCAAAGACAATGCACTGTCAAAGTAATGAGGGCTCGGGGTCAAGCATCTACATCATTAGACCTCCTTTGCCAGTACCAAAATATAATAATAGGGGTTTTCCCCTTTTTTCTGGCAACAAAAGTGAAACCTTTTTTATAAGGAATCATGTGTGCATTCACCTTAATGTATTATCAGAGTGTGTGTTTTTTGCTGGCATTTTGACCACCAGTATTGTGGTTAATGCACACATGATTCCTCATAAAAAGGTTTCAGTTTCGTTGCCAGAAAAAAGGGGGAAAGCCCTATTTCGATTTAAAGCTTTCGTGACTGCAAGGATTCATCTTCTTTGGTTCTTTACGTGACTTTACCGAAAGAACCAAATAAGAAGAAAAAAGCCCTATTATTATATTTTAATACCGGCAAAGGAGGTCTAATGGTGTAGCGTGTGTGTGTTTAAATTTCGATTTAAAGCTTTCGTGACTGCAATGATTCATCTTCTTTGGTTCTTTCGGTAAAGTCACCATGTAGAATGAGAATAAAATAATAAATTGATAAAATAAAATAACACGATAATATTCTCACGACGTTTCGGCCACAACACAAGCGGCCTTCATCAGGTGAAGTCTCGTCCCTTCACCTGATGAAGGCCGCTTGTGTTGTGGCCGAAACGTCGTGAGAATATTGTGTTATTTTATTTTTTCAATTTATTATTTTATTCTCATTCTACGTGACTTTACCGAAAGAACCAAAGAAGGTGTGTGTGTTTGTAAGCCGTCTCAGTCAACCTGGGTCTGTCCCGTGACCTGCCAGCAGTGAGCCTTCGACACTTCACGTGTGCCAGCGGTGGCTGCGGTGTGTGTTCATGTGAGGGTCTTGTGTAAGTGTATTGAGCGCGTGGCGCTGTACTGGCCACCAACCCCCCTTCGTGTGCCAAAGTGCCGGCCTTTGTAGGTGCTGCTCGCTAACGCCACTTGCCCCAACAGTCTGTTAAGGCTATATGGGGGATCTTTGTCTTTGTGTGTGTCTGTGTACCAGGCTATGGCCCAGTTTGGCGCGGCTTCTCAACAGCCTCCAGTCAGCACCAAGCGACCTCGACGGTACAGACGCCCAGTCCAGTGAGTACTCGCGCAGACACTCACACCGAGACAAAGATCCCCCGTGTAGCCTTAGCGGACTGTCGGGGCAATTGCTCTTTGCGAGTAGCAGCACCCATGAAGGCTGAGACTTTGGCACATGAAGGGGGAGTTGGTGGCCAGCACCCTGCCCGACCGCCTTTGTCTCCCAAGTAGCGGTGTTTATGCATCGTGCGAAATACTCATTTGAGCCTGAATCGACCTAGGGGAGGCCCAGGACCAGTTCAGATAATCCCCACACATACACGCACGCACACACATACACGCCCGCACACACACACGTACACACACGTACACACACGCACACATACAAAAAGACCAAGAGCCCCCATGCAGCCTGAACAGACTGTTGGGGCAAGTGCTGTTAACGAGCAGCACCTATGAAGGCCGGCACGGCACACGTGGGGGTGGGTGGCCAGCACCACGCCTAAGCACCTTTGTCTCTCCAGTGGCGATGTTTATGCATCGCACCAGGGACTCATTTGCGGCTGAGTCGACCTAGGGGAGGCCCAGGACCTCAGATAATCGTTACTGGTGTTGGCCGTGAGCAGGGAATTGAACTCGGTTCACCGGGCTTGTAGCGCAGCGCGCTGACCACTACACTACTCGCTCAGACACACAGACAAAACCTTAACGGACTGTTGAGGCAAGTATCTGTGAAGGCCGGCACGGCACACGAGTGGGTGGATAGCCAACACCACGCCCGGCCACCTTTGTCTCCCAAGTGGTGATGTTTAAACATCGTACCAGGTACTCATTTAAGATTGAATCGACCTAGGTGAGCCTTTTTTTTATCGCGCAGTCGTTGGTGAGTTGGCCGAGACGAGAGATTCACAAAGACGGTGGTCAGCGCATCAAGCGCTTTGCGACACCCGTCTGGAACGCTCTTCCGATACTAGGGAGCCACTGGAGCTACGCTCTTTTAAATCTCATCATTCCGATTGAAAACTCATTTCTTAAGAGCCGCTTTTTGTGTTTAGTTTGTTGTCCTTCCCCCCCCCCCCCCCGGCACCTCCGATGAGCACCGTTAGCTACGTACGGTGCGAAAGAAGTTCAACAGGCATAGCAGTCTGTTCTCCTGTAGCGCCGCGTGTAGTTTTCATAACGCGAATTTGACATAACACGCTTAGAATTGATGACCTCTATGGGGAGGGTTTTCACCTATCTGTTAGAGCTTTTAACAGACAACGGGACAAGAAGTCGCAGCTCATCGAGACGCCGACCTTCCTCAAAGGATGCCGCGATCACACAAGCTTAAAGGTCGCGATCTGAGCGTGGCTTCTCTCACTCCAGCGCTGTCCTCCAGACAGTCTCGTCCCTTCACCTGATGAAGGCCGCTTGTGTTGTGGCCGAAACGTCGCGGGAATTTTGTTATTTTATTTTCACCTACGTGACTTTACCCAATAGAACCAAAGAGTACGCTTAATGTATTCGGGAACACGTTTTTACAACGCGGATGCAAATTGGACGTAACGTGATGGAGCGAGCGGAACTCCGTCGTGCGCGAGTAGGAATGATAGCAGTCGTACAGCGGCGGCTTCAGCATAGCAGCATCATCATCATCGCACAAGGAGGCATTGGGATGCTGCTGGATGCTTCAAGATGCTGCTGTGCCCACCACGCGCCCTGAGTCTTTGTTCAGGCCCTTCGTTAATCATCTCACGTTGTTATCGCGGACTGTGCTTTACCTCCTTATATTATATATATAAAAATTGCTATTTAAAACTAAACTATTTTTTGACCAGGTAAGGCCAACTGAGCTATACAGATTTTTCTTCAGAAGCAACTTGGCCACACATGGTAGCTCAACGAAGTAGCTTATGACGTAGACATTTATAGCAGGCAAATACCCTGAACACGCATCTTTCTCAATGTGAAATGAAAAACCGGAGGACCCGGTGAAAAATCTGCGCGACCACGGGGGAGAACATGCAAACTCCAAATATACAGGCATGAGGGTCAGGATCGGACTGACGACCTTCTGTACACCAGGCGAGGTAGTTAACATCGCCTAGCCACCGTGGCACCCACGCTGGCATTCATTTGCAACGCGGTTTTCCCCATAACGTACCGACTAATCCGCCGCGTTGCAGGAGAAGGGACGCTCGCACCGCTCCTCGCGACCCCCCTTCACCGTGGCAGCTCCGTCCGTGCATGTGCCGCGTGACCTGCCTCCTGAGCCACTCAGCCTCCCCCCCCTCTCTCTCTCTCTCTTCGTACTCCTATCGTGTTTTTGCACTGTTTGCTGTTGTGACGTACTTACCCATCCCGACTGGTCTTCTGTGAAAAAGAGCTTTATAGCTCACTGGATTCCTCCCCGCGGCGTCAACAACAAATATTTTGATTGTGATTCTCTCCCAGCTGACGTTCTCTCTCTCGTTGCCGCCTCCCCCCACCCATCCTCTTCATCCACTGCCAGGTGCCCCCCTGCCAGAGGAGTTTGAGCTGCAGGGCTTCCTGGCTCTCAAGTGCGACACGAGGTGAAAGGGGCGGGGGGGTCGGGCGGTTGCGGCAGCATCGCCGGCGTTTTGCGGGTGGCGGTGAATCTCCGGCTCGGCCCATCGCGATGTTAAAAAACTCCGCGTGGGCGTTCGCTCGCCACCGTGAGCCGTTCCCCGCCCCCCCCCAGGGTTGGGTGTGCGGCAGTGGCATGCCTGCGAGGGCTAATCACGACCGCAGCCTCATCAGGCGACGGCCGCGGAGGTGTGGAGAAGTCCTCCTCCTGTTTCGGATCTTCAACAGAGGGGCTGGGTGAATGTGACGTCGTCACTTGGGAGCCAATCAGGGTGCGAAGACCAGACGGGAAGGGGGCGGTTGATGTATTCATAAAAAAATTACAATTAGATGTCTATTTTTGGTTGGTTGAACGACCCCACGTGTTGTTTACGGGACAAACCCGTACTTAGTTGGCTTTGTCGAGTGGTGGTGGCGGGTTTAACAACACATTCACGCGATCTTAAACACCTCTTATGGGTAATATTGGTCGCGAAAGCCCCTACTACGTGTTCAACAGGGTCAAATTTGAGGGTCGGAACTCAGGTTAGGAGATGAATATTCGGGTTCGGTACATTTTTATACCAGGATTATACTCGTTATTGTCGTGCTTATTCGCCCATTAAAATCTCACTTTGGAGTCTCAAAGACGTCTTGTTCAGGGTGGCTCTGTCATGTTTTCCAAGTAGGGGGCAATGCTGCTGCTGTGGATGATCTCTCAACAAGCCGCTTGTTGTTGTGTTTAGTTTGTTGTCCTTCCCGCGCACCTCTAATCAGCACGGTTGGCTACGTACGGTGCGAAATAAGTTCAATGTTCATACATGCTCAAAATATTGACTCCGTTAGGAGTACACACAGAACATCATCACCGCACTATTACGGAAAGAAAACGTGGCACAACCATCCTGAAAGAGAGTCTGGAGATTCGGTGGTCATGCTTTCCTAGGTAAACAAGGGCAGCTGTAAATATTAAAAAAATTGTCCCTTCGCCCATTGGTTGGGTTATTGGGCACCACAGTGGCGAGATGTTAATTACCTCGCCTAGTATATGCAGGAGGTCGTGGGTTCGATTCCCACCGTGACACCTGTATATTTGGAGTTGGCGTGTCTCTCTCATCATCATCACGGTGGATAGGAGATGTTAACTACCTCGCCTGGTATGCAGGAGGTTGTGGGTACGATCCCGACCCTGACGACCTCCTTTGCTGTATATTTGGAGTTTGCGTGTGTCTCTCCCCGTGGTCATGTGGATCTACTGAGCATTTGTCAAAAATAGATTTTTATAGCTCATCGGATTCCTTCAGTACAAATAAATATTCGGATTCAGATTTTTTTTTTTCTCCAGGTCCTCCGGTTTCTCCCTCCACATTTGAAATCGACATCACGCGTTTATATTTGGCTGTTATAAATGTCCACGTGATGATGATAAGCCACTTCATTGAACTATCATTTGTGGCCAGGTTGCTTCTGAAAAATAGCTGTATGCCTCAGTGGGCCGTACCTGGTTAAAAAAATCGTTTGAGTTTAGCTTCCGCAGTATAGGGGTAGAACACACAAACTCCACTCACTCACTCTGTAAAACAGGGGTAGAACACACAAACTCCACTCACTCACTCTGTAGAACAGGGGTAGAACACACAAACTCCACTCACTCACTCTGTAGAACAGGGGTAGAACACACAAACTCCACTCACTCACTCTGTAGAACAGGGCTAGAACACACAAACTCCACTCACTCACTCTGTAGAACAGGGCTAGAACACACAAACTCCACTCACTCACTCTGTAGAACAGGGGTAGAACACACAAACTCCACTCACTCACTCTGTAGAACAGGGGTAGAACACACAAACTCCACTCACTCACTCTGTAGAACAGGGCTAGAACACACAAACTCCACTCACTCACTCTGTAGAACAGGGCTAGAACACACAAACTCCACTCACTCACTCTGTAGAACAGGGGTAGAACACACAAACTCCACTCACTCACTCTGTAGAACAGGGGTAGAACACACAAACTCCACTCACTCACTCTGTAGAACAGGGGTAGAACACACAAACTCCACTCACTCACTCTGTAGAACAGGGCTAGAACACACAAACTCCACTCACTCACTCTGTAGAACAGGAGTAGAACACACCAACTCCACTCACTTTGTAGAACAGGAGTAGAACACACAAACTCCACTCACTCACTCTGTAGAACAGGGGTAGAACACACAAACTCCACTCACTCACTGTAGAACAGGAGTAGAACACACAAACTCCAATCACTCACTCTGTAGAACAGGGCTAGAACACATAAACTCCACTCACTCACTCTGTAGAACAGAGCTAGAACACACAAACTCCACTCACTCACTCTGTAGAACAGGAGTAGAACACACAAACTCCACTCACTCACTCTGTAGAACAGGGCTAGAACACACAAACTCCACTTACTCTGTAGAACAGGAGTAGAACACACAAACTCCACTCACTCACTCTGTAGAACAGGTGTAGAACACACAAACTCCACTCACTCACTCTGTAGAACAGGGGTAGAACACACAAACTCCACTCACTCACTCTGTAGAACAGGGCTAGAACACATAAACTCCACTCACTCACTCTGTAGAACAGAGCTAGAACACACAAACTCCACTCACTCACTCTGTAGAACAGGAGTAGAACACACAAACTCCACTCACTCACTCTGTAGAACAGGGTTAGAACACACAAACTCCACTTACTCTGTAGAACAGGAGTAGAACACACAAACTCCACTCACTCACTCTGTAGCACAGGAGTAGAACACACAAACTCCACTCACTCACTCTGTAGAACAGGAGTAGAACACACAAACTCCACTCACTCACTCTGTAGAACAGGGCTAGAACACACAAACTCCACTTACTCTGTAGAACAGGGGTAGAACACACAAACTCCACTCACTCCCTCTGCAGAACAGGGGTAGAACACACAAACTCCACTCACTCACTATGTAGAACAGGAGTAATGCACACAAACTCCACTCACTCACTCTGTAGAACAAGGGTAGAACACACAAACTCCACTCACTCTGTAGAACAGGGGTAGAACACACTAACTCCACTCACTCTGTAGAACAGGGCTAGAACACACAAACTCCACTCACACTGCAAAACAGGGGCAGAATACACAGACTCTACTCACTCACTGCAGAACAGGGGTAGAACACACAAACTCCACTAACTCTGTAGAACAGGAGTAGAACACACAAACTCCACTAACTCACTCTGTAGAACAAGGGTAGAACACACAAACTCCACTCACTCTGTAGAACAGGAGTAGAACACACAAACTCCACTCACTCACTCTGTAGAACAGGAGTAGAACACACAAACTCCACTCACTCACTCTGTAGAACAGGGCTAGAACACACAAACTCCACTCACTCTGTAGAACAGGGGTAGAACACACAAACTCCACTCACTCACTCTGTAGAACAGGGGTAGAACACACAAACTCCACTCACTCACTCTGTAGAACAGGAGTAGAACACACAAACTCCACTCACTCTCGACCGAACTCCGAACTTGCTTATCGGGCGTGCGACTGACCCTGTGACCCCCATACCACTGACTCCACAATGCCACCACTCCCACCCCCCTCCCCCCCAGGGCTCTGGAGTTCACGCGGGGTCACCAGGGCGTGGCCACGGAGAAGGACGGCCTGCAGCAGCGTGTGCGCCGCTTCCGCATCTGCGCCCTGGGCAGGAGGCTCGCGCTGGCGCACCCCAGGTGAAGCACCGTGCCCCCCCATCCCCGGCAGCCTGCGGGCCTACGGGGCACCGGAGCGTGGGTTTGATCCCCCGTAGCATGTTCTGTCTTAGGGGTGGCAGGAGGGGGGTTCGCAGTGGCTGTGTGTGAAAGCAGGGCTGAGATCCTGCTGGGTTCAAGCCCCTGGATCTGGGCGTCGTTTCTTTCGGTGTCAGGGGGTTCATCGTGGCCGTGCTATAGAGAGAGACACTTCGCCGTGGTGGCTCGGGGATGTTAACTACCTCGCCTGGTTTACAGGAGATTGTGGGTTCGATCCTGACCCTGATGCCTATTGTATATTTGGAGTTTGCGTGTTATCTCTCTCTCTCCCTGTGGTTGCGTGGATTTGTCTCTGGATCCTCCGTTTTTTTCCCCCTCATTTAGAATCAACATGATGCCTTTATCGTATTTTGCTGCTATAAATGTCCACGTGATCAGCCACTTTATGTACCAGGTAAGGCCCACTGAGCTATACAGCTCTCTTACAGAAGCGACCTGGCCATCACACATGACAGCTCATAGAAGTGGCTCATCAAGTGGAAATTTATATCTGCCAAATACTGGAAACGCATTATTCTAAATGTGGAGGAAATAACAGGAGGACGTGGAGAAAAATCCACAGGATCATGGGGAGGACACGCAAACTCCAAATATTCAGGCGTCGAGGTCGGGATCGAACCCACGACCTCCTGTATAACAGGCGAGGTAGTTAACATCTCCTAGCCACCATGGTGCCCACAGCACATTGCGTTGGCCACTGCGCCACTGCTCCCCACACAGACTCACTCTCGCTCACTCAGAACTCGGAGGAAACCCGTACAGATCAGAGGGAGCACATATACACCCTCGCTCTCATACTCACACTCTCAAATACTCACTCTCAAATGCTCACACTCTCAAATACACTCACACTCTCAAATACTCACACTCTCAAATACACTCACACTCTCAAATAGTCCCACTCAAATGCTCATACTCTAAAATACTCACACTCAAATACTCACACTCTCAAACACTCACCACTCAAATATTCACACGCTTACACTCTCAAATACTAACACTCTCAAATACACTCTCACTCAAATGCTCACACTCTCAAATACTCACTCTCCAATGCTCACACTCTCAAATACACTCACACTATCAAATAGTACCACTCACATGCTCATACTCTCAAATACTCACACTCAAATACCCACACTCTCAAACACTCACCACTCAAATATTCACACGCTTACACTCTCAAATACTCACACTCTCAAATTCTGACACTCAAACACTCAGACGCTCACACTCTCTCAAATACTCATAGTCTCATACGCTCAAATACTCACACGCTCACACTCTAAAATACTCACACTCTCAAATACTCGCACTCACATTCTGCAGAACAGGGGGATACAACATGCAAGCTCCACAGAGAAGGGCATCCGAGTCGGGAATCGAACCCAGGTGCTTCTCGCCGCGAGTCGGGGCGTCAAATAACCGCTAAATCCCAATTGAGTGATTATTCAAACTTATTTGAATGATCCATAAGAGTGTTTTTTTTGTTGTTGTTGGGTTCGGTCGCGTAAATATAAACGTTGTCGTAAAACCTGCCACCACCACCCGACGCAGCCAATCAGTAAAGGGCTGTGTGTCACATAAACACAATTGTGGCTAATTAGTTACTAGTTCAGCACTAACTGGTTGTGTGTGTGTGTTGGAGAGTAAACCCACACTACAACATTTACCATTTGAGTGTCGTGACGTTTCGCTGGTGATTACAACAACAACAACAACCACAACAACAGCCAGCAGCCTCATCAGGTGACAGCCACAGAGTTGTGGAGAAATCCTCCTCGCGCTCTTTCGGTATTAAATGTGTCGTGTTGAACTTTTTTGGTGATTAACAAGTTGGACTGGTCAGCCACCAGATGCGTTTCCACAACGTAGTCGCTCGTTTTTTAGGGTGCGTCTTTTCACAATAAACGTTTTGTTGGGTTCGATGGCGTAGCTATAAATGTGTTGTTCACCCGCCACCCCCACCGCCCGGCACAGCCAGTCAGTAGGGTTGTGTCACGTGAACAAAACGTGGCAATTCGTGACTCGCTCAGCACTACCCGGATTGTGCGTGTGTTTTGTAGAGTAAACCCACTACAACATTTACAATTCGAGTGGCCGTAACAACAACAAACAACAACAACAAAAACCACAACAACCAGCAGTCTCATCAGGCGACGGACAGATTTCGTTTGAGTGACAAATGTGAAATCTCGTCGCAGCGTTCTGCAGTGCACCATTGAGAACGGGCTGCTCAAGTTCAGCTCGCCCGTGCCCGAGGTGATCGTGGACGATGTTCTGTCGCGGGCGGCGCTTGCGGCGACGACTCCGCCGGCATCGGCGGCGGCGGTGGCGGTGGCAGAGGAGGAGGAAGATGAAGAGGAGGAGGAGGAGGAGGAGAGGGACGAGGAGGGGAGGATGGGCACGACGGCGCCAGCGGACGACGATGTCGAGGCCAAGCGGGAGACGCCGGTGGCCCCTCAGACGGCCGCGCCACGGCACCACCGGGGACTGACGGGCGCCTCGCCGGACGTCCCGGAGAGCCTCGAGGGCCCTGACGTCGCCAGCAGAAGCCCTTTCAGCAAGGTCGGTTGGGGGGGGGGGGGACACTCTCTATGTGTGAGTCTATGGGTCTCTATGTAAGTCTATGAGTCTCTGTGTGAGTCTATGGGTCTCTGTGTGAGTCTATGGGTCTCTGTGTAAGTCTATGAGTCTATATAAGTCTGAGTCTCTGTGTGAGTCTATGGGTCTCTATGTAAGTCTATGAGTCTCTGTGTGAGTCTATGGGTCTCTGTGTGAGTCTATGGGTCTCTGTGTAAGTCTATGAGTCTATATAAGTCTGAGTCTCTGTGTGAGTCTATGGGTCTCTATGTAAGTCTATGAGTCTCTGTGTGAGTCTATGGGTCTCTATGTAAGTCTATGAGTCTCTATATAAGTCTGAGTCTCTGTGTGAGTCTATGGGTCTCTATGTAAGTCTATGAGTCTCTGTGTGAGTCTATGGGTCTCTATGTAAGTCTATGAGTCTCTATATAAGTCTGAGTCTCTGTGTGAGTCCATGGGTCTCTATAATAGTCTATGAGTCTCTGTGTGAGTCTCTGGGTCTATCTGTAAGTCTGTGATTCTCTGTGTGAGTCTATGAGTCTCTATGTAAGTCTGAGTCTGTGTGAGTCTATGGGTCTCTATGTAAGTCTATGACGCTCTGTGTGAGTCTATGGGTCTCTGTGTAAATCTATGACAATCTGTGTGAGTCTTTGGGTCTCTGGGTAAGTCTGAGTCTCTGTGTGAGTTTATGGGTCTCTATGTAAGTCTATGACTCTCTGTGTGAGTCTGGGTCTCTGTAAATCTTTGAGCCTCTATGTGAGTCTATGGTCTCTATGTAAGCCTTGAGTCTCTGTGTGAGTCTATGGGTCTCTCGGTAAGTCTGAGTCTCGGCGTGAGTATATGGGTCTCTATGAATGTCTGTGAGTCTCTCTGTGAGTCTATGGGTCTCTATGTAGGTAATGGGGTTTCTCTGGGTTTTCCGGTTTCCTCCCCTAGCTAAAAAAAACCCACACACATACAATGTAAATGGTATTGGCTAAAGCATCCGCAATGCTCAGAAGGAAAAAAATACCTGCAAATAACTCATTTGGATCATGCAGCGCAGCAGGAGCAGCAGTAAGCATCGCCACCCCGACTGTGGAAAAACGTTGTCAGGACCCTCCTGAAAAAATACACTCACAAATACATGCTCACACTGTCAAGGGGTGCCTTTGCGGATGTGTATGCTTTAACTTTAACATAGCCATTTCTGTGACCAGTCACAAGCTAATCACTCAGCCATTTCAATGCTAAATTCTATGCTAATTCCTTTGTCAAGGGGTGCCTCTGTGGATGTGTATGCTTTAACTTTAACATAGCCATTTCTGTGACCAGTCACAAGCTAATCACTCAGCCATTTCAATGCTAAATTCTATGCTAATTCCTTTGTCAAGGGGTGCCTTTGCGGATGTGTATGCTTTAACTTTAACATAGCCATTTCTGTGACCAGTCACAAGCTAATCACTCAGCTATTTCAATGCTAAATTCTATGCTAATTCCTTTGTCAAGGGGTGCCTCTGTGGATGTGTATGCTTTAACTTTAACATAGCCATTTCTGTGACCAGTCACAAGCTAATCACTCAGCTATTTCAATGCTAAATTCTATGCTAATTCCTTTGTCAAGGCGCTTTGTTTCTTCTCACACAGCTTAAAGGTCGCGATCTGAGCGTGGCCTTTTTCACTCCAGCGCTGTCCTCCAGACAGTCTCGTCCCTTCACCTGATGAAGGCCGCTTGTGTTGTGGCCGAAACGTCGTGATTTTTAGATTTAAAGCTTTCGTGACTGCAGTAATTCATATTCTTAGTTTTTTCGGTAAAGTCACGTTGAAGAGAAACAACGAAATAATAAAATATATATAAAACAATAAAAAATTCTCACGACGTTTCGACCATAACTCAAACGGTCATCTTCAGTCTCGTCCCCTTCACCTGAAGATGACCGTTTGAGTTATGGTCGAAACGTCGTGAGAATTTTTTTTATTGTTTTATATATATATAATTATTTTGTTGTTTCTCTTCAACGTGACTTTACCGAAAAAACTAAGAATATGTCGTGATTTTTGTTATTTTATTTTTTACCTACGTGACTTTACCCAATAGAACCAAAGAGTGTGGATCCTTGCAGTCACGAAAGCTTCAAATCTAGAACTCCCCCCCCCCCCCGCCCCCCCCCCCCGCGTGCTATAGGAGCAGAATAATAAATCATCCCCCTGCATCTCCCCCCTCCCCAGCCTTGGGGCTCCAGCATCCACTCGCCGGCGCCGGGGAGGGACCGCGGGGAGACGGAGGGCGGCAGGGTGGTGGCGGCGGTGGTGCCTGAGCGAGCCGGAGGAGGAGGAGGAGGAGGAGGCGGACACAGCCCCCGGTTTGACCTACCCTGGGCAGAGTCGAGGCGGCGCTGCGGCGGAGACACGCGCAGACACAACGTGGCCGTGCAGGTGAAGGGGCGGGGGGTGGGTGGGTGGAGGGTGCACGGGACTCTGGTGGGCATGGGGATGACGGCGGACAAGGGGGGTACCTCGGGGTTTGTGTGAATGGTCGACTGTGTGGTGGACATGGGATGGGGGGGTACCTCGGGGTTTGTGTGAATGGGCGACTGTGTGGTGGACATGGGATGTGGGGGTACCTCGGGGTTTGTGTGAATGGGCGACTGTGTGGTGGACATGGGATGGGGGGTACCTCGGGGTTTGTGTGAATGGTCGACTGTGTGGTGGACATGGGATGGGGGGGTACCTCGGGGTTTGTGTGAATGGGCGACTGTGTGGTGGACATGGGATGTGGGGGTACCTCGGGGTTTGTGTGAATGGTCGACTGTGTGGTGGACATGGGATGGGGGGTACCTCGGGGTTTGTGTGAATGGGCGACTGTGTGGTGGACATGGGATGGGGGGGGGGGGGGGTGGGTTACCTTGGGGTTTTTGTGACGGTCGCCAGTGTGTGGTAGGCATGGGATGGGGTCTGTGTGATGGGCCGGCTGTGTGGTGGACATTGGATGGGGGGGGTACCTTGGGGTCTGGGCGTGGAAACTTGAATATGACGATGACATTGATTTTGATCGTGATGTCGATGCTGATGACGTTGCATAATATGCCGATGACGATGGCGACGATGCTCTGCAGAAGGCTGTGCCGCAATCTGCTCTCCCGCTGGTGGCGGAGCACCAGAAGCCTCAGCCGGTGCAGCCGGGCCTGGGACCCCTGGCTACGGCAACGGTTCCTCCCGCGGTGGCGTTCCCACCGGCACCGGCACCGCCGCCGCCTTCTGCACTGCACGTGCCGGGCAGCTTCCCGGCCCTACCGGGGCGACCGGGTGAGCCGCGGGACACACGCGCACACTACACGGGGGTTGCGTGTACACAGAGATTGAGACTGAGGGTCCTCCTTCCCTTGGGGCTCCCAAGTGCTGTTGTTAGCGAGCAGCTATTTAACATAAGAATAGGTTTTACCCTTTTAGCTGGCACAAAACAACTGACACCTTTATTCAAGGCATCATGTTTGCAATAACCACAACACAAGCAGTCAAAATGCAAACAAAAAAAAGACAACTCTGCTAAAAGGGTAAAACCTATTCTTATATCTTGTTTCTGGCAAAGGAGGTCTCATAATGTTAATGCTCACCCCGAGCCCTCAATACTCTGATAGTGCGCTGTTTTTGAGTTGTACGCCTTTTGGCGTCTTCTGGTCCAACACCAATGGAGACTAGGCTCTAAGAAAAGCTGTCTCGGGTGTGGACCAATCAAATTCAAGGACAGTGCATATTATTATCAGAGTTGTCTTTTTTTTGTTTGCATTTTGACTGCTTGTGTTGTGGTTATTGCAAACATGATGCCTTGAATAAAGGTGTCAGTTTTTGTGCCAGCTAAAAGGGTAAAACCTATTCTTATATCTTGTTTCTGGCAAAGGAGGTCTCATAACAGCTATTTAACCCCGAGATATCTGCGAGCTGCAGGGTGGGTGGGTGTCCCGTTTGCCGCTGAGTCTCAGAACGCGTGAGCAGTTCACGGTGTGGCAATTTTATTTGGAGAAGCGTAGTTAGCGGCTACGTTGTTTTCGAAGCCGTAACTCACCGCGGAGAAGCGCAGCGACACGGCCACCGCCACTGTAGGATAGCCAGCGCCGAAACCGTGCCACTCGCCACTCCAGCGCATGGCCTGGTGGGGGGAGCCGCGGCTCCGGTAAAGTTATTTCATTTTAGTTTTCTTCCCATTCCGTTCCGATGACGTCCGTGTAAACTGATGACGTGCACCCGTATGAACACGTGCGAACACTTGCGCCATCGAAACGGAGTGGGAAGAAAAGCTGGTGACGTACACGCGTACGTACACGTGTGCGTCATTTCGATGGCAGAGGGTTGAGTGACCAGCACCACGACCGGATGCCTTTTTCTCCGCAACGCTGACGTTTACAACACCGCACCAGGTACAGGCAGTCCCCCCGGGTTACGGAAGGGTTAGGTTCCCCAGAACGATGCAATTTTCCCCCAAGATCAACGATAAAATCCCACACCCGGAAACGGTTGTGCCTTTCCTGTCTGGTGCTGTCGTCCGTTTTCCCTCGCTATCCGTATCGTACCGTTCTGCACTTCCTACGATTTTTTTATGTCATCGAATATCTTACCCCAACACTAACCCCATAAATTTCGATTTAAAGCTTTCGTGACTGCGGGGATTCATGTTATTGGTTCTTTCGGTAAAGTCACCACGTAGAAGGGAAATAATAAAAAAAACTACAAATAAAACAATACAATTCTCATGACGTTTCGATTGCAACACAAGCAATCGTCATCAGGTGTGAAAACCAAATCAATTTTTTTTTCAAAGTGGCGGTTTTTATTTTATTATTTCCCTTCTACGTGACTTTACCGAAAGAACCAAGAATATACTACATTCCATAATTAATCTAATGGAACACACATACTGCATCCAATTGTTTTGAATACCACGAGACACTTCCATGTGAATTGTGAACAGAAAGCAGTCGCTTCGGAATGTTCGTTTGCCGGGCATTAGGCTAGGCCTAGACACAGACAAAGGTCGCCTTTATAGCCTTAGCATACCGTTGGGGCAAGTGCTGTTAGCGAGCACCGAGGAAGGTCGGAATGGCACACGAGGGAGTGGGTGGTCAGCACCACGCCCGACCGCCTTTGTCTCCCCAGCGGGACAAGGTTTACACACCGCACCAGGTACTCATTTGAGGTTGAGTCGACCTAGGGGGATGCGCAGGACCGGCTCAGATATCCGTCAGCAGTGTTGGCCATGAGTGAGAATGGAACTCATGCAGTGCGCGAACCACTGTTCCACCACTCCCCATACACAGAGAAACAGATACGTGCACATGTACAGTCCTGTTTCATAATAAATGTGTAGGTGAGGCTACATAATGATCTCGCTTACCCATGTGTCGTAAGACTCTCCACCACCCAACACAGCCAAACAAGTTGCCAACCGTTTAACAGTGTGCCAGTTCCGACTGTTTCAGCTCACTCATCTGCTCGCCCACTCACTCACCCACTGACTCACCGTCTCACCCACTCCCTCACCCACCTGCTGATCCACTCACTAATCCACTCAACCACTCATCACCCACTCACTCACGTACTTACCCATTCACTCACTCACTCACCCAAAGACAAAGATCCCCGTATAGCCTGAACAGAATGTTAGGACAAGTGCTGTTAGCGAACACCTATGAAGGCCAGCAATGTCACATGAAGGAGTGGGTGACCAGCACTATGCCCGGCCACCTTTGTCTCCCAAGTGACAACGTTTACACACCACACACAGGTACTCATTTGAGGCTGAGTCGACCTAGGGGAGGAGGCCCAGGACCGGTTCAAATGATCGTAACCGGTGTCGGCCGTGAGCGGGAATCGAACTCGGGTCGACGGGGTTGGAAGCGCAGCACGCTAACCGCTCCACTACCACTCCCCGCAGACACGCACATGTACATAAGTACATAACGCCTCCTGTTTTATTATTATGATTGCCAGAGAGGGCTAAAGCCCCCTGTTCTTCTTCAGCAGCTGTAACAATCATCATCACGCATGCCCCCTCGTGCCGCCCTGCACAGACCACCCGGCCCAGCCCTTCGCAATGCCACCGCCGCCGCAGCCGCAGCAGCAGCAGCAGCAGCCGCAGCCGGCGCCGGCGTCGGCAGTGTCGCTCTCCTACCCGGCGGTGCCCGGTTTCCCCTACGGCGCCGGCAGCGGGGCCGGGGCACCGCCGGGGGTGGCGGGGACGGCTCCGTTGCTGGCGCCATTCATGCAGGCCCCGCCGGGCGCCCACAGCCCGACGGGGAAGCCGTCGCACGTCCCCTACAGCCAGCAGCGCGTGGCCGGCACCGTAGGGAACGGGGGGGGCGGCCGCGGCCGCGGCCGCCACCGCCGCCGCCGCGTTAGCGGCGGCCGTGGCCGCGGCGGCCCCGCCACCGCGCTCCCCCGGCGCAGGACGCGCCGGCTCCCCGGCCGTGCAGGTGAGCGCACGTTGACGCTACGTGGCGATGAGATGTGTTAGCTACCTCGCCAGGTGTGCAGGAGGTCGTCGGTGTGATCCCAACCCTGACGATGCCTGCTGCTGTGTATTTGGAGTCTGCGTGTCTCTCCCCATGGTCGCGTGGAATTTTTTTTTCTCCTGGTCCTTCGTTTTTTTTTTTCCCCCCTCCACGTTTCGAATCAACATCGCCGCGCGTTTTGAGCATTTGGCCGCTGTAAATGTCCACGTGATTATCCACGTCGTTGAGCTATCGTTTGTGATGCCCGGGTCGCTTCTGAAAAAGCACTACACAGCTCAGTGGGGCCTTACCTGGTGAACCCATGGGCTTAGCCGGACTCGGAAACACTGAGCATCAATTCTCTTTTCTCACAGTTGCTCAGCTAAGGTGCAAAATACTCCTACGGCACGCAAAAAACAGCACTGTCATCAATGTTTGAATAGGCTTGGCGCGATTCTCAAATAGAGCCGAGGTGATCATTATTATAGGAGACGGTGGGAGGGAATTTCAAAGTGGAACAGTGTACGGGAAAAAGTAGACCTGCTGTGTGATGATGAGTGGCTGAGTGAATGAGTTGTTGTGACCTGCAGTGTGGTGCGTGGCTGAGTGAGTGAATGAGTTGTTGTGACCTGCAGTGTGATGATGAGTGGCTGAGTGAATGAGTTCTTGTGACCTGCAGTGTGATGATGAGTGGCTGAGTGAGTGAGTGTGTTGTTGTGACGTGCAATGTGATGAGTGGCTGAGTGAGTGAATGAGTTGCTGTGACCTGCAGTGTGATGATGAGTAGCTGAGTGAGTGAGTGTGTTGTTGTGACCTGCAGTGTGATGAGTGGCTGAGTGAGTGACTGTGTTGTTGTGACCTGCAGTGTGATGATGAGTGGCTGAGTGAATTAGTTGCTGTGACCTGCAGTGTGATGATGAGTGGCTGAGTGAGTGAATGAGTTGCTGTGACATGAAGTGTGATGATGAGTGGCTGAGTGAGTGTGTTATTGTGACCTGCAGTGTGTTGAGTGGCTGAGTGAGTGTGTTGTTGTGACCTGCAGTGTGGTGAGTGGCTGAGTGAGTGACTGTGTTGTTGTGACCTGCAGTGTGATGATGAGTGGCTGAGTGAGTGAGTGTGTTATTGTGACCTGCAGTGTGTTGAGTGGCTGAGTGAGTGTGTTGTTGTGACCTGCAGTGTGGTGAGTGGCTGAGTGAGTGAGTGTGTTATTGTGACCTGCAGTGTGATGATGAGTGGCTGAGTGAGTGTGTGTGTTGTCGTGACCTGCAGTGTGGTGAGTTGGTTGAGTGAGTGAGTTGTTGTGACCTGCAGTGTGATGAGTGGCTGAGTGAGTGTGTTGTTGTGCCCTGCAGTGTGGTGAGTGGCTGAGTGAGTGAGTGTGTTATTGTGACCTTCAGTGTGATGAGTTGGTTGAGTGAGTGAGTGTTGTTGTGACCTGCATTGTGCTGAGTGGCTGAGTGAGTGAGTGTGTTATTGTTACCTGCAGTGTGATGAGTTGTTTGAGTGAGTGAGTGTGTTGTTGTGACCTGCAGTGTGGTGAGTGGCTGAGTGAGTGAGTGTGTTGTTGTGACCTGCAGTGTGGTGAGTGGCTGAGTGAGTGAGTGTGTTATTGTTACCTGCAGTGTGTTGAGTTGGTTGAGTGAGTGAGTGTGTTGTTGTGACCTGCAGTGTGGTGAGTGGCTGAGTGAGTGTGTTGTTGTGACCTGCAGTGTGGTGAGTGGCTGAGTGAGTGTGTTGTTGTGACCTGCAGTGTGGTGAGTGGCTGAGTGAGTGTGTTGTTGTGACCTGCAGTGTGCTGAGTGAACACAGTACTGGATGAGTTAATGCAGTCCGTGTCTCAGCATTGGCGATTTTTCTTCTCTCCCACAGTCCCTGTCCGACAGCCAAGCTCAGAACTGGCCGCACTATGGCGGGAAGACTTTACACCCACTCTCCATGCAGCAGCAGCAGCAGTTGGTTCAACAGCAGCAGCAGCAGTTAGTGCAGCAGCACCTTGCTCAGCAACAGCAGCTGCAGCAGCAGCAGCAGCAACAGCATCAGCTCTTTCAAAAGAGCCCTCTGGCTAACCTGCTGTCGCAGATTGCAAACCTTCACCATCAGCAGCAGCAGCAGCATCCACTTCATTACCAGCAGCAGCAGCAGGTGGATAAATCGGCAGGGCGGATGAAGACGTACGGCACGCGGCTCGGGGTGACGGAGCCGCCCTGCGACTCCCCCAGCCGGCCGTGCGTCTGGGAGTCCGCCTACGGGCTGTCCGGGCAGTGGGGGGTGCCCCTGCAGCCGGGGTCGGGACAGCCCGGCCACGGCGGCATGAAGCAGCCGTCGTCGATGGTGAGTGCCGCTCGCGTGGCAACAGCGTGCACGTGTTCGCGATGCCGCCCACGGGGCACCGTTGACACTCACGGTGGCTAGGGGATGTTGACCACCTCGCCTGGTGTGCAGGAGGTCGTGGGTTCGATCCTGACCCTTGACACCTGCTGTATATTTGGAGTTTGCGTGTCTGTCTGTCTCTTATCATCACGGTGGCTACGGGATGTTAACCACCTCGCCTGGTGTGCAGGAGGTCGTGGGTTCGATCCTGACCCTTGACACCTGCTGTGTTATTTGGAGTTTGCGTGTCTGTCTCTTATCATCACGGTGGCTAGGGGATGTTAACTACCTCGCCTGGTATGCAGGAGGTCGTGGGTTCGATCCTGACCCTTGACACCTGCTGTATATTTGGAGTTTGCGTGTCTGTCTCTCTCTTATCATCACGGTGGCTAGGGGATGTTGACCACCTCGCCTGGTGTGCAGGAGGTCGTGGGTTCGATCCTGACCCTTGACACCTGCTGTATATTTGGAGTTTGCGTGTCTGTCTCTCTCTTATCATCACGGTGGCTAGGGGATGTTAACCACCTCGCCTGGTATGCAGGAGGTCGTGGGTTCGATCCTGACCCTTGACACCTGCTGTATATTTGGAGTTTGCGTGTCTGTTTCTCTCTTATCATCACGGTGGCTAGGAGATGTTAACTACCTCGCCTGCTATGCAGGAGGTCGTGGGTTCGATCCTGATCCTTGACACCTGCTGTGTTATTTGGAGTTTGCGTGTCTGTCTCTCTCTTATCATCACGGTGGCTAGGGGATGTTAACCACCTCGCCTGGTATGCAGGAGGTCGTGGGTTCGATCCTGACCCTTGACACCTGCTGTATATTTGGAGTTTGCGTGTCTGTCTCTCTCTTATCATCACGGTGGCTAGGGGATGTTAACTACCTCGCCTGGTATGCAGGAGGTCGTGGGTTCGATCCTGACCCTTGACACCTGCTGTATATTTGGAGTTTGCGTGTCTGTCTCTTATCATCACGGTGGCTAGGAGATGTTAACTACCTCGCCTGGTATGCAGGAGGTCGTGGGTTCGATCCTGACCCTTGACACCTGCTGTATATTTGGAGTTTGCGTGTCTGTCTCTCTCTTATCATCACGGTGGCTAGGGGATGTTAACTACCTCGCCTGGTATGCAGGAGGTCGTGGGTTCGATCCTGACCCTTGACACCTGCTGTATATTTGGAGTTTGCGTGTCTGTCTCTTATCATCACGGTGGCTAGGAGATGTTAACTACCTCGCCTGGTATGCAGGAGGTCGTGGGTTCGATCCTGACCCTTGACACCTGCTGTATATTTGGAGTTTGCGTGTCTTGTCTCATCACGGTGGCTAGGAGATGTTAACTACCTCGCCTGGTATACAGAAGGTTGTGGGTTCAATCCCGACCCTGACGATGCCTGCTGCTGTATATTTGGAGTTTGCGTCTCTCTCTCTCTCATCATCACGGTGGCTAGGAGATGTTGACTACCTCGCCTGGTATACAGGAGTTCGGGGGTTCAATCCCGACCCTGACGATGCCTGCTGCTCTATATTTGGAGTTTGCGTGTCTATCTCTCTCTTATCATCACGGTGGCTATGAGATGTTAACTCCCTCGCCTGGTATACAGGAGGTTGTGGGTTCAATCCTGACCCTGACGATGCCTGCTGCTGCTGCTGCTGTATATTTGGAGTTTGTGTCTCTCTCGCTATCCCCGTGGTCGTGTGGATTTTTCTCCGCGTCCTCCGTTTTTTTTTTCTCCACATTCAGAATCGACGTCCTGTGCTCTAAATTTTCACGTGATGATGACCAGCCGCTTCGTGGAGCTATCATTTGTGATGGCCAGGTCGCTTCTGAAAAAGAGCTATACAGCTCAGTGAGCCCTTACCTGGTTAAAAATGAAAAAAAACTAGTTCTCGAGTTTTCGTTTAGTTTGATCTCTCCCCGCGTCTCTTTCCTGTTCTGGGCTGAACAGGACATGGACACGTACGACGTGCGGGCCATGGAGAGCGAGCGGGAGACCTTGGTTGGCGCCAGCACCAACGCCGTGGGTGGCGGCGGTGGGCGTCCCGACTTCTGCCAGGCGCCAGGAGCTCCCGTGGTCAAGACGAACTTCGTACGCAGCCTGCCCTGGGGCAACCCAAACCCCTCCCCCACCCCCCACACACACACCAAGACTCTCCACACCCCCCTGCTCTCCACTATTGTCTCCTGAACCACCTGCCTCCCCGAGTCACGCATTGATTGATGTTCATGTTTGATTGATGATGGATTCAATGATGGGTGTGTGGATTGATGATGTTGATGATGGGTGTATGGATAGGTCATGATAGATTGTTGTTGATGGTGTCAATTATCATGATGGGGTGCATATTTGATGATGTTGATGGGTTCATGGATTGTTGATGATATTCTGTAATGTGCAAGTGAGTGTGAGTTTGTGAGTGTAAGTTTGAGAGTGAATGGAATTTGTATGTTCTACCCCTGTTCTACAGTGAGAGTAAGTGAGTGGAGTTTGTGTGTTCTACCCCTGTTCTACAGAGTGAGTGGAGATTGTGTGTTCTACCCCTGTTCTACAGAGTAAGTGAGTGGAGTTTGTGTGTTCTACCCCTGTTCTACAGAGTGAGTGAGTGGAGTTTGTGTGTTCTAGCCCTGTTCTACAGCGTGAGTGAGTGGAGTTTGTGTGTTCTAGCCCTGTTCTACAGAGTGAGTGAGTGGAGTTTGTGTGTTTTATTTATGTTCTCCAGAGTGAGTGAGTGGAGTTTTTGTGTTCTACTCTTGTTCTGCAGAGTGAGTGAGTGGAGTTTGTGTGTTCTAGCCCTGTTCTACAGAGTGAGTGAGTGGAGATGGGGGGTTCTAGCCCTGTTCTACATAGTGAGTGAGTGGAGTTTGTGTGTTCTAGCCCTGTTCTACTGAGTGAGTGAGTGGAGTTTGTGTGTTCTAGTCCTGTTCTACAGAGTGAGTAGAGGTTGTGTGTTCTAGCCCTGTTCTACAGAGTAAGTGAGTGGAGTTTGTGTGTTCTAGCCCTGTTCTACAGCGTGAGTGAGTGGAGTTTGTGTGTTCTAGCCCTGTTCTACAGAGTGAGAGAGTGAGTGGAGTTTGTGTGTTCTAGCCCTGTTCTACAGAGTGAGTGAGTGAAGTTTGTGTGTTCTACCCCTGTTCTACAGAGTGAGTGAGTGGAGTTTGTGTGTTCTATCCCTGTTCTACAGAGTGAGTGAGTGGAGTTTGTGTGTTCTACTCCTGTTCTACAGAGTGAGTGAGTGAAGTTTGTGTGTTCTACCCCTGTTCTACAGAGTGAGTGAGTGGAGTTTGTGTGTTCTATCCCTGTTCTACAGAGTGAGTGAGTGGAGTTTGTGTGTTCTACTCCTGTTCTACAGAGTGAGTGAGTGGAGTTTGTGTGTTCTACACCTGTTCTACAGTGTGAGTGGAGTCGAGCACCAATTGGGTCGAGGCTCAAAAGAAAGCCGTCCCTTGGTGTGGACCAATCAGTTTCAAGGACAATGCATATATTATCATAGTATGTGTTTTGTTTGCATTTTGACTGCAGGTATTGTGGTTAATGCAGACATGAATGCTCGCAAAAAGGTTTCAGTTATGTTGCCAGAAAAAAGGGGAAAAACCCTATTATTACATTTTGGTACTGGCAAAGGAGGTCTAATGATGGAGTTTGTGTGTTCTTCTCATGTTCTGTGTTGGTTTCCTGCAGGTTCTCCAGTTTCCTCCCATAGATATTAAAAAAAACCTACCTCTCATAACCGGGATTGGCCATGACATCGCAATGCCCACAAATTTCCTGCAAATTGCTCAATTGGGATCGCGCACAGAAGCAACTTCATCCTTTCCCGCCACGAGCAACAATTGGCAGGACCCTCTTGAAAGGGGGTCGTGGGACTCGGCGAGGGTTTATTGGGTAAATAAGTGGCATTATTATTATTATCATCAGCAGATGGCTGAGATCAAAATGACACTGACCTGCTTGATGCTATTGTTGCTGCTGCTTGTGCTGTTGCTCCTGCTGCCACTGCTGCTGCTTGTGCTACTGCTGCTTGTGCAACGCCTGCTGCTGCTGCCGCCACTGCTGATGATCCCGCTGCTTGTGTTGGTGCCGTGTAGATGGGGGGACGGATGCGGCAGGACCAGTCTCCCGAACGCCACGGGATGCCGGCTCCCTTCCCAACGTCGTTTGGGGGTGGCGGCAGCGGCGGCGGCGGCGGCGGCGGCGGCACCGCGTTCACGGTGAGTCTCAAGGAGCGCCAGCGCCGATGGCGTCCGTTGCTGGCACCAGTCCATCCGGGCTTGTGGAGAACCACAGCCAGGGTTGGCACCGGATGCAGAGTTGTGGTGGTGCGGGATTGTGATGCCTGCTGATGTATATGCGGAGTTTGCGTGCCTCTCATCATCATCATCATCACGATGGCTAGGAGATTTGAACTACCTCACCTGGTATACTGGAGGTCGTGGGTTCGATTCCCATCCTGACGGCCTGTTGTATATTTGGAGTTTGCACGTCTCTCTTTCTCCCCCCACCCCGTGGTGGTCGCGTGGATTTTCTCCGGGTCCTCCGGTTGTTGCCTTCCACATTTCGAATCGACGTCACACATTCATTGTATTTGGCTACTGCAATAAATGTCCACGTGATTATGATTAGTTTAAGCCACTTCGTTGAGCTGTCATTCGTGGAGGCCAGGAGGCTTCTGAAAAATAGCTACATAGCTCAGTTGGCCTTCACTGGTAAAATTAACATAGTTTTAAGACATACAGCAGGCATCGTCAGGGTCGGGATCGAAACCCACGACCTCCCGTATACCAGGCGAGGCAGTTGGCATCTCCTAGCCACTGCGGATGCTAATGGCGCCTGCCCTTCTTGGTGACAGCAGATGCACACCGTGTTCAGTGAGCCATACGGCAAGCGCGGTGAGGGCGGCATGGGCCTCACCTCCTCCTCCACCTCCTGCTCCTCATCGGCATCCTCGTCATGCCGGCCCAGCCTCCTCTCCGACATCTCGCGCCCGTACACGCTCTTCGACTCCAACTCCTGGTCGCCGGCATTCGGCAACTCCGGTGAGAGAGTGTGTGGGGCGCCGATTCAGTCGCTAGGAATCCGCCGGCGAAGTCCCTGGTTATAGAGTCACCTGTGTGACGATGAGTGGACGCGAGTCCCCGAGCCGCCGGGCGGCGGTGTGGCTGTGACTGCTGCCCAGCAGTGTAGCGGTTAGCGCTGCGAGCTCGCACGAGATCCGAGTTCAATTCCAGCTCAGGGCCCACACCGGTGACGATAATCTGAACCGGGTCCTCGGCCTCCCCTCGGCCTCAAATGAGCACCTTGTGCGGTGTGTAGTAAACATCGCCACTGGGGAGACAAAGGCGGCCGGGCGTGGTTCTGGCCACCCACCCCCTCGTGTGCCGTACGGGCCTTCATAAGGCGCTACTCACTAACACCACTTGCCCCAACAGTCTGTGCCGAGCTATATGGGCAATCTTTGTCTTTTTGCTGCCCATCAAAAGCCTAAGGCCTGGGTGTGACCGTGGCGAGACAGGACCAATGTGTGTACACGCGCGTGAATGTATGTGTGTGTTTGTTTATTTTTTTACCATTAAACTACGTGGAAAAATAATCGTAACTGAACTTCGACATTTAAAGCTTTCGTGACTGCAGTAATTCATATTCTTAGTTTTTTCGGTAAAGTCACGTTGAAGAGAAACAACAAAATATATATAAAACAATAAAAAATTCTCACGACGTTTCGACCATAACTCAAACGGTCGTCTTCTATTTATGCGAACCAACACACCTGAAGACGACCGTTTGAGTTATGGTCGAAACGTCGTGAGAATTTTTTTATTGTTTTATATATATTTTATTATTTTGTTGTTTCTCTTCAACGTGACTTCACCGAAAAAACTAAGAATATGAACTTCGCGCGGCCTTAAAAGTGCACATAGCCTGGCACAAGTGCCGTAGTGACGTCACTGCCACTTAGTGGCGAATGGCAGCTGTTGCTGTTAATGTGTGTTGAACTTTGGTTTAAAGCTTTCGTGACTGCAGGGATTCATATTCTTGGTTCTTTCGGTAAAGTCGCGTGGAAAGGAAACAATAAAATAATAATTATTATTGTTTTATATTTTTATTATTTTGTTTCCCTTATACGTGACTTTACCGAAAGAACCAAGAATATGTGTGTTGAACTTTTTTCACACCGTACGTGAGCCATCCTCGCTAATCGAAGGTGCGGGAGGAAGGACAACAAACTAAACACAACAGCAAGCAGTTCTCAAGAAATTCATTTTCAATTTAGTGTAGTCATGTATTGTGGTGTATAGCATAGTGTATAATGAGTAGTGTGTGTAGTGTATAGTGTATAACGTGGAGTGTAGTATGTATGTATGCATGTTAAACTTCTTTCGCACCATACGTAGCCAACCGCGCTAATTGTAGGTGCGGAAGAAGGACAAACTAAACACAACAACAACAACAAGACGCAGTTCTAAAGAAATTAGTTTGTCAATCTAGACGATGATTTAAAAGTGCATCGTAGCTTCAAGCAGGTTCCTAATATCGGAAGGGGAAGAGCGTTCCAGACGGCCACAGAAATGTAGTGCAATCGGGGAAGAGCAACGAATGGCCCTCTACGAACAACGTCACGTAGAAGGCCATTCCCCGTTTTTCTGGCAACAAAACAGGTGTTGAGATTTTGATTTAAAGCTTTCGTGACTGCAGGGATTCATATTCTTGGTTCTTTCAGTAAAGTCACGTAGAAGGGAAACATTAAATTAATTAAATATATATAAAACAATTAAATTATCACGACGTTTCGACTGCAACACAAGCAATCATCATCAGGTGTGAAAACCACAACAAGAAAATTTGAAAAAAGTGGCGATGCTATCCACATATACAAACACAGAGACAATTTCAACCGAGAAGATGGATTCTGGCTTAGCAATCATTGGAAGGATTTGATAAACCATTTCGGGTCTTAATTGATTGATCACGCTTAAGGTGGCTTTCAGACTGCATCCATTATTTTTCATCTCCCCCCTCCTCTTTTCCGAACATAGATGGACTCGTCCATCTGAACAAACTGTCAAATCGCTCTCCGTGGTGCTAATGTAAAAAAAAACGCCACTTTTTTCAAATTTTCTTGTTGTGGTTTTCACACCTGATGATGATTGCTTGTGTTGCAGTCGAAACGTCGTGAGAATTTTATTGTTTTATATTTTTATTATTTTATTGTTTCCCTTCTACGTGGTGACTTTACCGAAAGAACCAAGGATATAGGTGTGAAGATGTTAAAACACCAAATTGAAACCTTTTACAAGAAATCGTCTGCATTAACCACATATACTTGTGGTCAGAATGCAAACAAAAAAACATACTCTGGACCAATCAGTCAGTTTCAAAGACAATGCATATACTATCAGACTATGTTTTTTGTTTGCATTCTGACCAAATGTAAATGTGGTTAATGCACACATGATTCCTTCTAAAAGGTTTCAGTTTGGTATTTTAACATCTTAACACCTGTTTTGTTGCCAGAAAAAAGGGGAAAACCTATTCTCATATTTTGGTACTGGCAAAGGAGGTCCCATGATATTTTTCTATTTTACCAGGTAAGGCCCCCACTGAGCCATATAGCTCATTTTCAGAAGCAACCTGGCCACCACAAATGATAGCTCAACGAAGTGACTTATCATCATCATCACGTGGACATTTATAGCGGCAGTAGACAAATACTCTGAATGCTTGTTGAGTCTAAGTGTGGAGAGGGAAAACCGGAGGACCCGGGTAAAAATCCACGAGACCACCATAGGGAGCGAGAGACAGGCAAACTCCAAATATATATAGCAGGTGTCAAGATCAGGATCAAACCCACAACTTCCTGCATACCAGGTGATGGGCATTAACATCTCCTAGCCACTGTGGCTCCCATTGTGTGCGAGCGTCAGGGTCCACATTTAGCAAATTAGAAAAAAATTACGCAGCAAATGACTCGATTAGGACCACACACACTGACAACATCGTTAACATTTCTGGCCACCGTGGCGGTAGTTAACATCTCCTAGCCACCATGGAGAGACGTTAACTACCTGGCCACGAGTGATACCTGGCAACGAGTGTTTTGTCTCCCGTCGGAGGCGAGTGATTCCTGAACTGCGTCTGGAGCCGGTCGACTGACGAGCAGATTTCCCCTTTTGTGTGGCGGTCACGACAGAGCACTCCACCCCGGCAAGCCAGTCACCCCAGAGCTCCCAACCCAGCTCCCCTCCGCCGCCCTCCTCCATGTTCGGGCCGATCGGCACCCTGGATCCCACAGACCGCCGAGCTACCACCTCAACCACCGCCGACCGCTGGAACGGGAAGAGGCCAGAGAAGCCGGGAGGTGAGTGGGTGGGTGAGTGGTTGGGTGGGTGAGTGGGTGGGTGGGTGAGTGGTTGGGTGAGTGGGTGGGTGGGTGGGTGAGTGGTTGGGTGGGTGGGTGAGTGGGTGAGTGGGTGGGTGGGTGGGTGAGTGGGTGGGTGGGTGGATGGGTGAGTGAGTGGGTGGGTGAGTGGATGGGTGGGTGGGTGGGTGGATGGGTGGGTGAGTGGGTGGGTGAGTGGGTGGGTGGGTGAGTGGGTGGGTGGGTGAGTGGGTGGGTGGGTGAGTGGATGGATGGGTGGGTGAGTGAGTGGGTGGGTGAGTGGGTGGGTGAGTGGATGGGTGGGTGAGTGAGTGAGTGGGTGGGTAGGTGGGTGCGTGAATAAATGAGTGAGTAGGTGGATGGGTTAGTGGCCGGAGGAAGCGGTAGTGTACGAGATCAGTTTTTCTTCCGACTCCGTTCCGATGGCGTACACGTACGTCATCGGAACCGGTGGCATCCCGCCCCGGTGTATTTGCTGCGTCGAGCGTTAGCCGTGACATCGGGCGCCGTCTTGCTTTGCGGCCGGAACGATCGAACTGCGTGAATACGTTTTCTGCACGGCAGTCTTAGGCCAAATTTGAAAATTACTCTTTTTTTATGATCACGCTTAGCGGCGGCAACACCGCTCTCCCACTTTACAAACCACCGCAGGCTTTGTCTGCGATGTGCAGGTGGCACCTCTCTCCCTGCGCTCTTGGGAACAACAGTGCCCTGATCACAATGTACTCAAGTCTAATCTTGCGCGTGGCAAGACGTGTTTTCCAGAGCGGGACGCCAATTTCAAAGTCTGCTGCTGGCCATGACGGGAGAGGGCTTCAGGAGAGAGGCAGAGAGAGACAGATAGACACAGATTGAGACAGACAGAGGGTTCGTGTCATTTTTCCGTTCCTCCTTCGTTGAATGAGCTCAGACCACGGTGGTTTACTGTATGGACGTAATTGGCGGCACCACACCGGTGCAGCAGCAGCAGCAGCGTAACGACACACCGGGTCCTCAGTCCGACGACGTTGCTGTTGGCCCTTGAGTAGGGCTGCAGAACTGTCCAACAGAAGTTGCATTCAGATTCAGCAGCAGCAGCAGCTTTCCCATTGGAACGTATGGAGGTGGCATGAGCCAGTAATCTTTTTATAAATCTATGAAGTCCATAATCTAGGTTTTTTTTTGGTTGGGTCACGTAAATGTCGTTAAAACCGCCACCACCCGACACAGCCAATTAGAAAGGTTTGTCACATGAACAAAGCGTGCCAAACCGGTTGTGTTGGACAGTAAACCCACTACTGCATTTACAATTATAGTGTAGCGTATAGGGTAATGTATAATGTATACTAGTACAGCACTAACCGGTGTGTTAGAAAGTAAAACCACTACTACATTAACGATTATAGTGTTGTGTATAGCAGATTATAGTGTAGCGTATAGTGTATACTAGTACAGCACTAACCGGTGTGTTAGAAAGTTAAACCACTACTACATTAAATTTTGATTTAAAGCTTTCGTGACTGCAGTAATTCATATTCTTAGCTCTTTCGGTAAAGTCACGTTGAAGGGAAACAATAAAATAATAAAATATATATAAAACAATAACAAATTCTCACGATGTTTCGACCATAACACAAACGGTCGTCATCAGGTGTGTCGGTTGGCATTAATTTATTTATTGATTCATTGATTGATTAATGCTAACCGACACACCTGATGACGACCGTTTGTGTTATGGTCGAAACGTCGTGAGAATTTTTATTATTTTATTGTTTCCCTTCAACGTGACTTTACCGAAAGAGCTAAGAATATGCACTACTACATTAACAATTATAGTGTAGCGTATAGTGTATACTAGTACAGCACTAACTGGTAGTGTATTGTAGAGTAAACCCACTACAACATTAACAATTATAGTGTAGTGTATAGTGTATTCTAGTACAGCACTAACCGGTTGTGTGTTGGAGAGTAAACCCACTACTACATTAACAATTATAGTGTATTGTATACTAGTACAGCACTAACCGGTTGTGTGTTGGAGAGTAAACCCACTACTACATTAACAATTATAGTGTAGTGTATACTAGTACAGCACTAACCGGTTGGGGGTTGGAGATTAAACCCACTACTACATTAACAATTATAGTGTAGTGTATAGTGTATACTAGTACAGCACTAACCGGCTGTGTGTTGGAGAGTAAACCCACTACTACATTAACAATTATAGTGTAGTGTATACTAGTACAGCACTAACCGGTGTGTTGGAGAGTAAACCCACTACAACATTAACAATTTGAGTACTTCTTTGGTTCTTTCGGTAAAGTCACGTAGAATGAGAATAAAATAATAAAATAAAACAACCAAATTCTCACGACGTTTCGGACACAACACAAGCGGCCTTCTTCAGGTGAAGGAACAAATCTGTCGGGACGACAGAAGAAGGCTGCTTGTGTTGTGGCCGAAACGTCGTGATAATTTTATTATTTTATTATTTTATTCTCATTCTACGTGGTGACTTTACCGAAAGAACCAAAGAAGATGAATCCTTGCAGTCACGAAAGCTTTAAGTCGAAATTTGAGTACTTTGACGTTTCACTGGTAATTACAACCAGCATGATCAGGCTGGTTGTGTCGGGTGGTGGCGGTTTTAACGACTCATTTATGTTCATGCGATCTAACCCATAAAACACCGACGGACAATATTTTTTGCGAAAGCCTACTTGGTAAAAACTATCAACTATTTTTTATTTTACCAGGTAAGGCTCCCAGTGAGCTGTTCAGCTCTTTTTCAGAAGCGATCCGGCCATCATAAATGATAGCTCAACCAAGTGGATTGTCACGCGGACATTCACAGCAGCAGCAGCCAAATACTCTGAAACGCGTGACGTTGATTCTAAATGGATACAAATCCACGCAAACACGGGGGGAGAGAGAGGGAGAGACGCAAACTCCAAATATGCAGCAGCATGGCGTCAGACGCCACTGTCCGTCAAGAAATGATTCCGTAAATTAATGGAGGAGGAACCGTTTGACCAAGTCTGGGTAGGGCACGAGTCCAAGCTGGCATTTGGAACGCCGTCGGGGCTGGGTTTTGTCGCTGTACTGCGTGAAGCTTCGTGTGTCCGTCAGCCCCGCGGCTCGTATAAACGCTCCGTCCAACCCGACCGCTTCCGACGTTACGACAATCGATGTTGACGCACCGCCACCACCACCACCGCCACCACCACGGCCGCCATCGCCACCACTGCCGCCACCACCACCGCCGCCATCAGCACCACTGCCACCACACATCGCCACCACCACCACCGCCGCCATCACCACCACTGCCACCACACATCGCCACCACCACCATTGCCACCACCACCACTGCCACCACACATCGCCACCACCACCACCATCACCAACCCTGCAAGATTTTCTGACTAGGGGACTTGGAGAATCGGGGGGGGGGGGGGGGGGGGGGAAATTAATAAATATTTGGGGGAAACTTTTTTTGTTTACTTATTGTACCGCTTGCCACTAGTGTATATACAACGCAATACGTTCAAACGATCCACCGATTGGGCTGTATTGCCACAATCGGGAGTGCAGTCGATCACCGATGATCAATCGCAATGCAGTCGACGATGATGTGATGACAATGATGATGACAATGATGATGACAATGATGATGTGATGACAATGATGATGACGACGACGCGATGCCGCCGTGTCCCCTGTCCGCCGTGCGGCTGTGTTGGGTCCAGCGGCGAGTGGCTACGGGCTGGATTACCTCCCATCGGACGCCACGTGGCCCCCACCTCCACGCGTCCTCCCGTCTCAGGCGCTGCACGCGACATCCCGTGGCGGCGGTGCCGCGCCGTGGATGGGTGCCCAACACGCCAGCGAGCCCCCTCCCAGCCTTGCTGACAACCTCAAGGTACAGCTCACGAGGCCGCGCTCGTCAAAGACAAAGATCCCCCCGTACAGCCTGAGCAAACTGTCGGGGCCGAGTGCTGTTAGCGAGCAGCTCCCATGAAGGCCGGCACGGCACGTGGGGTGGCCAGCACCACGTCCGGCCGCCTTTGTCTCCCCAGTGGTGACGATGTTTACGCATCGTCACCAGGGTACTGATTTGAGGCCGAGTCGACCTAGGGGAGGCCCAGGACCGGTTCAGGTGATCGTCGCCGGTGTTGGCCGTGAGCGGCAATCGAACTTGGGTCGCCGGGTTCGTAGCGCGACGTTCTAACCGCTACCAATACCGTTCACACACACACACACTACACACACAGTACACACACAGTACACACACACTACACACACAGTACACACACAGTACACACACTACACACACAGTACACACACACTACACACACAGTACACACACACACACTACACACACACTACACACACAGTACACACACACTACACACACAGTACACACACACTACACACACACTACACACACACTACACACACACTACACACACACTACACACTACACACACACTACACACACACTACACACACAATACACACACAGTACACACACACTACACACACACTACACACACAGTACACACACAGTACACACACACTACACACACAGTACACACACAGTACACACACACTACAAACACACTACACACACACTACACACACACTACACACACAGTACACACACACTACACACACAGTACACACACACTACACACACAGTACACACACACTACACACACAGTACACACACACTACACACACAGTACACACACACACTACACACACAGTACACACACACTACACACACAGTACACACACAGTACACACACACTACACACACAGTACACACACACTACACACACAGTACACACACACACTACACACACACTACACACACAGTACACACACAGTACACACACACTACACACACACTACACACACACTACACACACAGTACACACACACTACACACACACTACACACACAGTACACACACAGTACACACACAGTACACACACACAGTACACACACACAGTACACACACACTACACACACACTACACACACAGTACACACACAGTACACACACACTACACACACAGTACACACACACTACACACACAGTACACACACACACTACACACACAGTACACACACACTACACACACAGTACACACACACTACACACACACTACACACACAGTACACACACAGTACACACACACTACACACACACTACACACACAGTACACACACACTACACACACAGTACACACACACTACACACACACTACACACACACTACACACACAGTACACACACACTACACACACACTGCACACACACTACACACACACTACACACACAGTACACACACACTACACACACAGTACACACACAGTACACACAGTACACACACACTACACACACACTACACACACAGTACACACACACTACACACACACTACACACACAATACACACACAATACACACACACTACACACACAGTACACACACACTACACACACACTACACACACAGTACACACACACTACACACACACTACACACACACACTACACACACAGTACACACACAGTACACACACACTACACACACACTACACACACACTACACACACAGTACACACACACTACACACACACTACACACACACTACACACACAGTACTCACACTACACACACACTACACACACAGTACACACACACACTACACACACAGTACACACACACTATACACACACAGTACACACACAGTACACACACACTACACACACAATACACACACACTACACACACAGTACACACACACTACACACACACTACACACACACTACACACACACTACACACACAGTACACACACACTACACACACAGTACACACACACTACACACACAGTACTCACACTACACACACACTACACACACAGTACACACACACTACACACACAGTACACACACACTACACACACAGTACACACACACTACACACACACTACACACACAGTACACATACACTACACACACAGTACACACACAGTACACACACACTACACACACACTACACACACAGTACACACACACTACACACACACTACACACACACTACACACACACTACACACACAGTACACACACACTACACACACAGTACACACACAGTCCACACACACTACACACACACTACACACACAGTACACACACACTACACACACAGTACACACACACTACACACACAGTACACACACACTACACACACAGTACACACACACTACACATACAGTACACACACACTACACACACAGCACACACACACTACACACACAGTACACACACACTACACACACACTACACACACACAGTACACACACACTACACACACAGTACACACACAGTACACACACACTACACACACACTACACACACACTACACACACAGTACACACACACTACACACACACTACACACACACTACACACACACTACACACACACTACACACTACACACACACTACACACACAGTACACACACACAGTACACACACACAGTACACACACACTACACACACACTACACACCCACTACACACACAGTACACACACACTACACAACACACACACAGTACACACAGTACACACACACTACACACACAGTACACACACACTACACACACAGTACACACACACTACACACACACTACACACACAGTACACACACACACTACACACACACTACACACACAGTACACACACACACTACACACACACTACACACACAGTACACACACACTACACACACACTACACACACACTACACACACACACCAAGTGCTTCCTGTCACTCGTGAACCGTCACGATCACGCGACACTCCGCTCATTCTCGCAGTAGCAGCGGCAGCGGCTTTTGGCTGGCCGTCGAAAAGGGGACGGTGGTCACCCACATCGCCGCACGACGCTTTCAGACGCACTTCTCCGGCCGTCTGGAACGCTCTTCGTTCTGATATTAGGAAGCCGCTGGAGCTGTGCGCTTTTAAATCATCTTCCAGATTGACAAAGTAATTTCTTTAGAACGCTATACACTACAGTACGCGATACATTACACACACTACACTATACACTACTATAGACGACACTATACGCTACACTATTACACACTAACCTGTACACTACACTATACACTACCCTGTACACTACACTATGCACTATACACTACACTATACACCACACTATACACTACATTATACACTACACTATACACTACTACACTATACACTTCTATACACTTCACTTTACACTACACAATACACTACACTATACGCTACACTATTACACACTACCCTGTACACTACACAATACACTACACTATACACTACACTATACACTACACTATACACTACACTATACACTACATTATACACTACACTTCTATACACTACACTATACACTACTACACTATACACTTCTATACACTTCACTTTATACTACACTATACACTACACAATACACTACACTATACACTTCACTTTACACTACACTATACACTACACTATACACTACATATACACTACACAATGCACTACACTATACACTACACAATACACTACACTATACACTACACAATACACTATACTATACACTACACTATACACTACACTATACACTTCACTTTACACTACACTATACACTTCACTTTACACTATACACTACACAATACACTACACTATACACTACACAATACACTACACTATACACTACACTATACACTACACTATACACTACACTATACACTACCCTGTACACTACACTATGCACTATACACTTCACTTACAACTACACAATACACTACTATACACTACACTATACACTAACAATACACTACAACTATACACTACACTATACACTACTACACTATACACTACACAATACACTACACTATACACTACTTAATACACTACACTATACACTACACTATACACTACACTATACACTACACTATACACTACACTATACACTACACTATACATACATTACAGCAGAACGGGAATGGTACCGGGGGGCACAGAGCAACAGGAATGAAACAATGAACCCCCATCACAAACTCAGCGGCTACCACCGGCTGAGCAAAATTTCATGAACCCAATCATGGCCCTCCCTTGGTCGGCTCGTTCTCAAATGAGTGCCTGGTGTGAAGTGTAAACTAAACTATTTTTAATTTGACCAGGTAAGGCCCCACTGAGCTATATAGCTCTTCTTCAGAAGCGACCTGACCACCGCAAATGCTAGCTCAAGTGAACTTATCATTTTGTGAAAATGTATCGCAGCCAAACGCTCTAATTGCGTGATGTTGATTCTAAATGTGGAGGGAAAAAATTGGAGTACCACGTGGAGAGAGAGAGAGAGACACGCAAACTCCAAATATACAGCCAGGCATCGTCAGGGTTGGGATTGAACCCGTGACCTTCTGCGTACCAGGCGAGGTAGTTAACATCTCCTAGCCACCGTGATGATGAGAGAGACACGCAAACTCCAAATATACAGCCAGGCATCGTCAGGGTTGGGATTGAACCCGTGACCTCCTGCGTACCAGGCGAGGTAGTTAACATCTCCTAGCCACCGTGATGATGATGAGAGAGACACGCAAACTCCAAATATACAGCAGCAGGCATCGTCAGGCATTCGTTTTCGTGGCCAGTTTTTTTGTTACTCCGCAGACGTTTGAATCGGCGGCGTGCGGCGCCTCCCCCCCCCCCACCCCCCCCCGCCACCGCCTGCCGTTTGTCTCTCCGTGCAGTCGCTGTGGTCGAACTCGGTGATGCAGCCGGGGCCGCTGGCGCTGGAGCAGCTGCTGATGCAGCAGAAGCAGAAGCAGTTCAAACCTGGGCCAGTCCAACCCTCCACACTGAAGGGACGCGCCGCCATCTCGCTCGGAATAGAAACCCTCGGCAGCGCCAGCGGCGGAAATCCGCGGCGGCCGCGGCGGCGGCGGCGGCGGGCGGCCGGCGGCGGGCGGCGGCTGCCTCAGCAGCGCTTCTTTGACGGAGTGGCGAAAGGGAGGAGCCAGCCTCCCTCGCTTCCCTCCGCCTCTCTCCACCGAAGCATTTGGGAAACCAAAAATTTAACCGAATAAATGTTGAAAGCCGGCGATTTCGGCGAAAACGCCATCGCCGGCGCGGCAAAAACGTCGCCATCTCCCCTTAGACGCAACGCCGGTAGCGGCGGCCGAGCCGGCGATGCCGATGCGGCGGTCGAGCCGGTGATGCCGATCCGCCGGCGTGCGTCTGTGGTCCGTTCGTCGTCGGTTTGCTCGCTCTCTGAAAGCCCGCCTGCCCGCCGGCCATCCGTCACGCGGGCGGGCGCAGGCTTGGGTTGGCACTGAGCGTCTGGAGCCGCGGCCGGGGAAGCCGGGCGGAAAGTCTCTCCGCGTTGCCCTCGTTTATTTTAATTTTTATTAGTATTTTTCGCTCTCTCTGTCTCTCTCGTTTTGACCACGCTGCTCCCCCGGCTTGTTTTCGTGAGGACCCGAAGGAAGCGGGGGATGGGTGGCGGTGGGGGAGAGAGAGAGAGAGCTGAGAGAAAAAAAAAGGGAATTCCACCCAAACCGCTTGGTCGAGGACGTTGGGTTGGCAGCAGCGGCCGCGGCGGCGTTTCCATTGCGCCGGTTGAGCCTTTTCTGTCCGTGGGCGATCGAGGGCAGGGCACTCTTTGGCAAGGCCACCTGCACGCGACGGTGGATGGCACGACACGGCACGGGGGCGCGGTTGTGTCGAGGAGGAGGAGGAGGGGGGGGGGGGGGTGGGCGAGCGACACGCAGGACCGGATTGCGGGGGGGGTGGGGGGGGGACGGAGCGGTTGATGGCAGAGAGCCGCCCGCGAGCGTGCCCCCGACTTACTCCCGAATCCACGCAGTCCACTTTGGGTTTATAATGCACCCCCCACCCCCCCCCCGTACCCCGGCGTGTTCCAGATGACAGGAGGGAGGGTTTCCAGATCCGAGTATCCAGATCCCCGGGTATCCAGATCGCTGCGCCTCTGGGAGAGTTGGCGAGTCAAGCAGAAAAATTTGGCGGTGCGAGGGACGGCCCTCGGGGCTCGGGGGCCCGCTGCAGGCTTCTGAAGCCGTCTGCTCAGTGCACTTCCTGAGTGGGGCTTTCTCCGGCCACCCCCTCCAGTTTTAACCCACGGCCGCCCGAACAACAACAAACAATGGTAATTAAAAATAAAAAAAATTGGCTAAGACATCGCAAGCAGGAGGTGGGTGGGGGGGACCCTACTTCAAAGTCGACTTGAGACTTGAGGACAATGAAATGGTTGATTTGAGGAATGATCTCTGGGGCCTTTCGCCAATGCACTGGTGGCCCCCCTCCCTCCATCCCCCCCCCCCCCCCCCCCCCACCTGCCATGCCAGCCGTGGCGATGGGTTTGGAAATGTGGGGGTGTGGTGGAGAGGGGTGTGGGTAGGTGGGTGGGAGTGGTGGGGTGGGTGGGTCAGAGTGAGTGGGAGTGGGTGGGTGGGAGTGTGCCAGGATCGGTTTAAAACTCGCCAATGATGTCGGGCAGAGAATAGAATCAAGGTGGTGGATAGTTCATAGCGCAGTGCGCTAACCACTGTGACACCACTCGCCGCTGCCCCCCCCTCCCCCCCCCCCCCCCCCCCGCCGTGTGTAAGTGAGTGGCTGCCGAGATTGAGAGAGGCGCACTGGGAGTGGGGTGATGTTGGCGCCACCCCCACACACCGCCCTGGCTAACTCGGCCCTCTCCAAGAGAGCCAACCGGGGGCCGCTGGCGGCGGCGGCGGTGGTGGTTTAGAGGGAAAGCGTGGTGGAGGAGGTGAGGGGTGGGTGGGTTAGTAGGTGAGCGAGCGAGTGAGTGAGCGAGTGAGTGACGCGTATGCGGGCAGTGCCAGCTCGCGTGTTTTCTCCCCCCCCCGCCCCGCGCCCCGTACAGATCCACAGGGAGGCGGGGTGCTGTCAAGGTGGGGCGAGGGGGGGGTGGTGCTGTAGGCAAACCACAGCCAGGGTCTATACAGAATCATGAGACGGTGTTGCAGGGGGCAGGTGTGCGGGCGTCCAGGCTGTGCGTGCTTGGACGTGCGATTAGCTTGATTGGCTGCGTACGGCGCGAAAGAAGTTCAACATACAGACGCACGTACAAGACCCCGAATTTTTGCAGTAGCATCGTGATGTGCATCTTTGCAGGTTTGTGGTTGTACAGGCGTCATGCCGGGCAGGTGTACAGGTGTGCACCTGTGCACAGGTGTACACCTGTGCACAGGCCCTGCCTGGCAGGTGAGCGGTGCGAGCTGAGCGACGGTGCAGGTGGGAGTCTTCATTGGCACCCACCGCTTTGACGCGGCAGTCCCTTCGCTCATAAATCTGGCAGGGAACGTTCGCGACGTTAATGCGACGAAACGAGAGGTTCACACGGGGGCCCCCCCACATTCACCACCGCCACATTCACCGCCACCCCCACATTCACCGCCACCCCCACATTCACCGCCACCCCCACATTCACCGCCACCCCCACATTCACCGCCACCCCCACATTTACCGCCACCGCCACATTCAACGCCACCCCCACATTCACCGCCACCCCCACATTCAACGCCACCCCCACATTCACCACCACCACATTCACCACCCCCACATTCAACAGCCACCCCCACATTCACCGCCACCACCACCACATTCACCGCCACCACCACATTCACCGCCACCCCCACATTCACCACCCCCACATTCACCGCCACCCCCACATTCACCACCCCCACATTCACCACCACCCCCACATTCACCACCACCACCACATTCACCATCACCACATTCACCACCACCCCCACATTCACCGGCACCCCACATTCACCGCCACCACCACCGCCACCACTCGTCGACCGAACGAATGGATGAAGTCTGCGGGGTGATTCTCCAACAAAGTGGAAGAGAGAAGGGGGGGGGGGATAGTTTGGCGAGCGCGTGAATCATCCCCCCTCCCCCTCCTCTTCCCAGATGGGAAGAGGAGGAGGAGGGGGGCGGGGTGATGCAGAAAGCACTCCGCAAACACTTCGGGAACGGTCCGGCCGGTTCTTGGATGTGTCGGGAGTGGGGGGGGTCAAATGTGGCCATGCGACGAATCGAATGTCAAAGTTCCAAACACCACGACGACGACGACGACAAAAACGAAATTTCCCGTTGCTTGCATGAGAATAAAAACTAAACAAAACGGATGCCCGTGTACAAACAAAACGTCCTGACCGGCTAAATCATTCTAAAGCGATTCCGTGATGACGTATCATGGCGAGATCCAAAAGGTTTCCCCGATTGATTGATTTTGTCAAATATGTGCATGCGTGCGTGCCTGCCACCGGTTGCGTCAATCCATACCTGGCAGAACGTTTTGCCTCTTATCTCGCCATGATCCGGGGTGCGAGAGAGAGAGCGAGAACTCTCCTCTTTCTCGCTCCGGTGTGTGTGTGTGTGTACGTTTCGCCAGAGATATGAACCTTACACCGAGGGATCGTAACCTTATTGCGGTGGTGGGGTTTGTGTGTTCCTTTGAGCCTCGGAGCTTTGTCACCTGAAATCTTCTGCTCCTGGTAGGGTCTCCTTTGGGTCGGTTCCAAACAAACAACGGTCCAAAACAAAGGCCCCTTGCGATTGGTTCAAAAATATGGAATTAGAGAACCCCCCGATGGAGCCGGGGCCTGGGGGTGGTGTTCGCCGGCAAGCGCCTGGTGGCAGGGTGACCCACTTGACCCGGATGGGCCCAGCCCCAACTGGCTGTGGCGCCATCCAGAGGGGCCCACCGTCCGCAGGACGAAGGGTGAGGAGTGGGTGCGATGGCAGGGAGAAGGATGGTCTCGGACGGAATGGACACTTGCTATTGGACGTGGAATGTCACGTCACTGGGGGGGGAGGGGGGGGGAGGAGCCCTAGGTGGTGGAGATGAAAAGAAGCCGACTACATGTAGCCGGTAACTGGGAGATTGGCCGGTGGATCTGTGCGACATTCGCAGTATTGCGGGTGCTGTACCTTTCCGTAGGAGTGAAACGGAAGCTGAGTTCTCGAACAAAGTTCTCGGTTTCCAGATCGATCTATGTTCCCACCCTCTCCTATGATCATGAGCTTTGGGTTATGACCGAGAGGATGAGATCGCGGGTTCTAGGGGACGAAATTAGGTTTCTCCCCCAAGGTCGCTGGGCTCGCCGTTCGTGATCGGGTGAGGAGCTCGGTGATCGCGGAGGGCCTTAGAGTCGCGCCGCTGGTCCTCGGGACCGAGAGGAGCGAGTTGAGGGTTCAGGAACCGGGGAAGTACAGTATGTCCCCCGGTCGACTTCCCCGGGAACTCTCCCGGCCACATCCCAGTGGGCGAAGACCTCAGGGCTGGCCCAGGACAAGCTGGTGGGATTGTCACTTGGCCGGCCTGGGAACACCTGTAATTCCCCAGAAAAATCTAGTGTCTGTCGCCAGGGAAAGGAAGATCTGGACCACCCAACTCAACATACTGCTGCTTTGATCCTCGCCAGGACAAGCGGACTGAGAACGAACGAACACCTTCCCCCTTATCCCACTGTACCATCCGTACCGAGCCTTCACGGTCTGGGTATTTTCCACTGGCTGTTTGCCGAGCCCAGAATCAAGCCATCCTACAACTGGCCTCACTCGAAGGCCAGTTGATTCTAAATGGAGAGGGGAAAAACCAGAGGAGCCGGAGAATAAAATCCACACCACCACGAGGAGAGAGAGAGAGAGATGCAAACTCCAAATATACAGCAGCAAGTTTCGTCAGGGTCGGGATGGAACTCACGACCTCCTGTAGACCAGGCGAGGTATTTAACATCTCATAGCGAGCGTGATAAGAGAGAGAGACTTGCACACCCTATAAATATACAGTAGCAGGCATCATCAGGGTCGAACCCACGACCTGCATACCGGGTGAGGTAATTAACATCTCGCCACCCGGATAATGAGAACCACGCAAACTCCAAATATACAGCAGCAGGCATCATCAGGGTCAAGATCGAACTCACGACCTCCTGTATACCAGGCGAGGTAGTTAACAGCTGCCTCACCTGGTAGAGACACTCTCATCATCATCACGGTGGCTAGGAGATGATAACTACAAGTATCGAGCAGCAGGCATCGTCAGCGTCTGGTTCGAACCCACGACTTGTATAGCAGGCAAAGTGAGTGAGTGGGTAAGTGGATGAGTGGGTGAGTGAGTGGGTCAGTGGGTCAGTGGATGAGCGAATGAGTGGGTGAGTTAGTGGGTGGGTCAGTGGATGAGCGAATGATTGGGTGAATTAGTGAGTGGGTGGGTCAGTGGGTGAGTGGGTGGGTGGGTCAGTGGGTGAGTGGGTGGGTGGGTCAGTGGGTGAGTGAGTGGGTGGGTCAGTGGATGAGCTATTGATTGGGTGAGTTAGTGAGTGGGTCAGTGGGTGAGTGGGGGGTCAGTGGATGAGCTAATGAGTGGGTGAGTTAGTGAGTGGGTCAGTGATGAGCGAATGATTGGGTGAGTTAGTGAGTGGGTGGGTCAGTGGTGAGTGAGTGGGTAGGTCAGTGGGTGAGTGAGTGGGTAGGTCAGTGGATGAGCAAATGAGTGGGTGAGTTAGTGTGTGGGTCAGTGGATGAGCTAATGAGTGGGTCAGTGGGTGAGTGAGTGGGTGGGTCAGTGGATGAGCTAATGAGTGGGTGAGTGAGTGAGTGGGTCAGTGGGTGAGTGGGTGGGTGGGTCAGTGGATGAGCTAATTAGTGAGTGAGTGAGTGGGCGGATGGAGCAGTCGTGTAGCGGTT